TCCCTGCAGTCACGAAAGCTTTAAATCGAAATTTCTTAGCATTCTTAAGAATAGTGGCTATTTCAGCTCTTGGCACATCCGCATGGATGTGTCCTATGCCTCTGAGGGCTACATCAATCTGAGAAATCACATCCTCCCTCGGGGGGTTCGCTTTTCATTGTCAGGGACATTTGCGGCGATGCAGGACATTTATGAACCTCGATCGGTCGCCAAGCGCAAGTTTCAGTTGAGGCGACGGGCGGGGGGGGGGGGAATCTCCCCTCGCGTATCGCAGTGCGCTATTGACCCTCGGCCAAGCGGCTTACCCGGCATTGGATGAGGCTGCCCTTGATTCCTTGGCCCAGGAGAAGCTGTTGCAGATGGCGAAGGAGCTACGAGTCGTCCTCTCACTTCCCAGCGACAACGACAGGTCATCTTTGCAGATTGCCAGGAACATTCAGGTCAACCTGGATCTTCGCGATGAGCCATCGGTGGTGCCATGGGGGCCTACCGGAGTGGGAGCCGACGTTGCTGACGGCAGCGGCCGCACGACCGCCATTGGGCCCACCCCGCCGCTCGGGGACAGGCGGACGTGGCGGTCCGCTGACGTGTTACGAGTGCGGGCGTCGAGGACACTTCACACGGGACTGCTGGAGACGGAGAGGCGTCTTCCCGTGATCATCAGGAGGCTACAACCGCGGATTCTACTCAGCACAGGATTATCAGGCGAGTCACGACACATGCAATACACGGCCGTATCCGAAAACCTCACCCATCCGCGACACCACACACTGTTGATCCACCTTCATATGATGCACAGGGGAATGCTGTATGGGGTGCGTTGGCTCATCTGTTTTGGGAGCCGCGCCGGGTTCATCGGATGTGATGGCGCTTGTTCAAGGGGTTCAGGTTCGAGTCATTGTAGATACGGGGGCTTCGGCGACACTTATTTCCTTGCAAACTTTCCGATTATTACCAACCTCGCCCCATGTTTTGGAACCAGTGGATGGCCCGTGTATAGCGGCAAATGGGGGCAGTTTGGGAATTTTGGGTCGAGTACTTGCAACGATACAAGTCGGGGAGGTGTGCGTAACTAGATACATTTTGGTTTCCTCTGTTTTGGCTGTACCTTGTTTGTTAGGCACGGATTTTTTGAAAAAGATGCCATTTAAGATTTTGATTGAGAAGGGACGATTGGAATTGCATTGGGTACAAGGAAAATTCAGACATCGCCATACCACCCGCAAACCGACGGGATTGTCGAGCGTCTTCATCAAACATTGACGTCTATGTTGTGCCAACAGGTTAATTCGACTCAGACAGACTGGGATCTACATGTCCCGTCGGCCTTGGCCGCTTATAGATTAGCCCCATATGCTTCAACAGGGTATTCACCCTTCTATTTGATGTATGGTCGTGAACCAGAAGCCCCGGCCTTGGTCAGGCTGGGGGTGAAATCTAAAGGGAAGTCGCCAGCGGTGCCTGTCCCCATGCGTGAGGCATTGGATCGTTTGAAAGAGGCCAGGGAGGCCTCGCTGGGAAATACGGAATGAAGGCAGGCGGCTAATGAGCGCCTGCACGGTACACAGCCTCCACGTGAGCCATGGCAGGTGGGGGGCAAGGCCTGGTTACATTGTCCGATGATGCCGGTAGACACATCACCGAAATTCCATCGGCCCTAGCAGGGGCCCGTTGAGATTGTGGAAGTTTGTTGGGATCAGATTGTGAGGATTCGATACGGTCGCCGATTGTGGCACATTCACCCGTCGCGTTTGAATAGATATGTGGTGCCTTATGATGCGTCATCTCCCATCCCGGAACAGCCTGTATTGGATGTGTCTGACGAGCGTACTGTGCGGCGATGGGAGAACGCACCTCAGCAGTCTACCCCCCGTGTGTCTGCAGGATCGCCATTTTTGAGTCAGGGGACACCCCGGGTCACACGAGGCCACGTTGGAGTCTCATCGAGGAATGGCCAGTGTAACGAAGATGGGCGCACGTGTCGGGCAGGACGCTGCCCCGCGCCCACGGACAGAGATACCCTGCCCCCTGTTCAGTTGAGCCGGGGTGACGGACCGGCTGCGGGAACCCGCTCAAAAAGATTGACTTTTTCTTAAAACTTTGGGAGTTGGGGATCATGTACATTTTGTTGTGTGTTGTGTTTTCCGCGTGATGCGTTATGCTTAGCCGGGACGGCTAACTTTTTCAACAGGTGGGGGGGGGGGGTGTAGGACTTGAAATATCAAGCGTTCTGTTGCTATGCAAGCGAGCAGCGTACAGTGAGGGCATCTGAGGACACAGTTGTTGTTGTCGTGGCATTAAGGGGGAGGTCGTTAAGAGATGCCACAGATGTTAGGGGTAACTGAGGGCGCAGGCCGGTGATTGGTCAGGAGGGTGAGTGGCTGATGACCGGCCTGGCGGCGATAACATGGTCACGTGAGGCTGGGGGCCTGGGGGCGAGTAGCAAAGCGGGGGATGAGATAATTGATTGGGACTGATTCGTGCGGGGATAAAGGGCACAGCGTAACGGAGAGACGGGAGTCTTGGTTGGTGTTGGAGTTGGAGTGGTTGGTGCCCGGGGCAGAGACGGAGCAGCAGGGAGCAGGAATAGATACGATAAGAGTAGACAGATAGAACACAGTGTACGGTAGCAGTGGACGGAGTGAGTACAGAGTAGGGTAGCAGCGGAGTAACGGACTTTGGGAGAGAGGGAGAGAGGGAGAGAGAGCGAGCAAAGTCGCGGAGCGGAGCGAGCAAACGGGGAGACATGGAGCGATGATGAGGAGGAGGTGTGAACTCTATGCGTGAATAAACGAGACGAGAAAGACAACGAGAGTACGTCCTACATATATACAAGGACTGTTTTCTTGGAATTTCTCTCACTTGATACATTTATCGTGCTGTGATTGTTCCACCTGAAGACGGAAGCTTGTGTTGCCTCCGAAACGTCATGATTTTAATTTTATTTTAATTTTACTTTTATTAATTTAAATTTAATTTTTTTACCTATGTGACTTTACCGAAAAAAACCTAAGAATATGAATCCTTGCAGTCACGAAAGCTTCAAATCTAGAATACACTCAATCACTCTGTAGAACAGGGGGAGATCATACAAACTCCACTCACTCACTCTGTAGAACAGGGGGGAGATCATACAAACCCCACTCACTCTGTAGAACAGGGGGAGATCACACAAACTCCACTCAATCACTCTGTAGAACAGGGGGAGATCACACAAACTCCACTCACTCACTCTGTAGAACAGGGGGAGATCATACAAACTCCACTCAATCACTCTGTAGAACAGGGGGAGATCACACAAACTCCACTCACTCACTCTGTAGAACAGAGGGAGATCACACAAACTCCACTCAATCACTCTGTAGAACAGGGGGAGATCACACAAACTCCACTCACTCACTCTGTAGAACAGGGGGAGATCACACAAACTCCACTCACTCTGTAGAACAAGGGGAGATCATACAAACTCCACTCACTCACTCTGTAGAACAGGGGGAGATCACACAAACTCCACTCACTCACTCTGTAGAACAGGGGGAGATCACACAATCTCCACTCACTCACTCTGTAAAACAGGGGGGATCACACAAACTCCCATGGGCAGAATAAACTTGACACAGATCGGGCGTATCCCAAAGTCGAAAACAGGCGTTCCTTGCTGCGCTGTCAACTTCTGCGGCCCATCAATGAATCAATGTGAGGCGGTAACGCTGGACCCCAGGGGCTCTTCAAGTCTTCACAGGAGCGAGCTCGCAATGCTGCAAAGGTCACTACTTAAAATTAAAAAAATGTTGACGAGGTAAGTCCCCACAGAAACGACCTGTCCATCACAAATAATAGCTCAAGGAAGTGGCTCGTCGTCATCACGCGAACATTTGTCGCAGCAGTCAAAAAACCGAAACGTGTGATTTCGATTCTAAATGTGGAAGGAAAGAACCGGAGGACCACGGGGGGAGAGAGAGGCGCAGTTTCTCAATACACAGCAGTTTCGAAACCACGACCTCCTGTATACCAGGCGAGGCAGTTAACATCTCCGAGCCACCCAGATGATGATGAGAGAGAGACACGTAAACTCCAAATATACAGCAGCAGGCATCAGGGTCGGGATCGAACCCACGGCCTCCTGTATACCAGGCGAGGCGGTTAACATCGCTCGGCCAGTGATTTGAGTGATTGGTTAACGTCTATCATGGCCGCGTTGTGTGTGCGTGCAAACCAGTGGTGACGGCACGTGGCACGATAGCGCCTGTGAAGGCCGGCACGGCACACAAGGGGGTGGGTGGCCAACACCACGCCCGGCCACCTTTGTCTCCTCAGCGGCGATGTTTACTACACACCGCACTAGGTACTTATTTGAGGCTGAGTCGACCTAGGAGAGGCCCAGGACCGGTTCATATAATCGTCACCGTGGTTTTGGCCGTGAGCGGGAATCGATCTCGGGTCGCCGGGGTCGTAGCGCAGCTTAGCGCTAACCACTGCGCCACCGCTCCCCACAGATAGAATAAGGATAAAGATCCCCCTGTGTATAACCTTTAACAAACTCATCTTCTTGGTTCTTTAGGTAAAGTCACGTAAAAGGGAAGTAATAAAATAATAAAAAATAATAAAAAATAAAATTTTACAGACTGTTGGGACAAGTGCTGCTGTGAGCGAGCGGCCCTTTGAAGGCACATACACACGAGGGGCAGGGGACGTCCCTCTCTTACTAAGCTCCAGTCGCCCACCTACACAGCTCAGCAGAAAAACAAACAACAAGACCAAAGACTGGTGGGGCAGGTTTTTTGTGCGGGCAGAAATAGGTGCGGGGGTGCAGGAATGAGGGTGCAGGAATGCGTGGGGCGTGTGGGGCGTGGCACGCATCGCGGATTGGTCGCGGAGGTGCGGTGGGCGGCCCTTGCCTCGTTGCGGCCAATGGGTACGCCGGATGCCAACAGTGACGTCGTCGTGTCACCTTAGATGCTTATATAAACTCTATCTACACAGTACAAACAGACACGGGACAAGAAGATAGAGATACCGTATTGGCTGGGGTGAGTACTCATCAAAATCAGAACCTTTATTTATCCTGCACACTTTGTGTGCATAGATCCGTCTTGAAGGTGTTCATGACATCGTGATAATATTTGCCGTGTTCTATTCTTCATATATATTCGAAAACATGTACAACACGTTTGAATAACGTATTTAATGCATCCTCAATAATCGACAATATATTAAACTAAATAACTGAAAATGACAGAAATGTAAACACCTATTATTTATTTTACTTTGATACTGCCAAAAGGTCTCATGATACATTTAATAATCTCACGTTTGTTGCACGTATTTAAATAACGAGTACATTATGGTTGTTAATCGAGGGCACGTAAAATCAACATCTGTTTAACAACTCCAGTTCTGAAACTTCAACAAATATGCTGCCAATGTTGTTGTAACTATTCCAAGCTTGATTCGGATATTTTCTTTGCTTGATACGGTTTATTTCATTGCACACCAGAACCCCCGTGACGTCACTCCCCGTACGCACTGCTCCAGAGGCTGATTGGCAAGGACCCTCGCTTCGTCGGATCCTCGTTCAAAGCAAAACTACACTATACACTACACTATACACTACAAACCACACTACACAACAATATTAATAATCATTAGAAATACCGTCGTTATGTAGACTATATATAACACAAACAAGCAGATCATACGCCTTCATCTGCGACAAAGAGCTGCATAGCTCATCGGATTCTTCCCGTATAAATAAAGATTCATATTTAGATTTGAAGCTTTCGTGACTGCAGCAATCCATTCGCTTTGGTTCTTTCGGTAAAGTCACGTGGATAGAAAAGTAATAGATCACGACGTTTCGATCGCTACACAAGCGACCGTCTTCATGTGAACCCAAATAACCAAAGAGTAAAGATTCTGATTCTCACCATGACCTTCACATGAACAGTAACTCTCTCTGCATCACGTGATGTGTGGGCTCCGTGCCTTCTATGAGCCCTGAATGTTGAAATGGAGCCCCCGCCGCTGAGATCATTCACTCCCAGGTCGTGTGGCTGATGGGATGAATCAACATATTTGTGTACGTTCACGTGGAGGGACAGATATACGAAGGTGCTTGTTATTTGTTACTTGTGTAATAAACGACTTCCATGCACGACGACTCTTGACTGGCGTCTTTTATTCAGCAGAATGTCTACACAGCTCCGCGCTCTCTATCCCTCTGGGTAGTTCTCTGACTTGACAGTCAACCTCTGTCAGCTGACGCGGCACGCCTCTCTCTCCCTCTCCGTTCACGCCACTGGTCTGGCGGCATGCCCGGCGGATATAATGCTTCGCTGGGAGTTCGCCACGTGGTCGTTGGCGAGAGGTAGAGCGGCGATGCAGTCTCCAGACCTGAGGCTTCCCACACCGACCCCGAGTCCTCTCCTGCCTCCGCTTATTTGCCTCCCAGCGGAGCTAAGCTACGCCTACAGCCACGCCCCCTCGTGGAACCCTCTGAATGGTTCCCGTATATTCCCCGTAGCTCCGCCCTTTACCTTTGGCCTAGATCGAATCCCTACTCCAGATTGGTTACCGGTTACACAGCGGTGGCCATGCAGATGTCCCCTGTAACCCCCCAGGTGGCGCTCTGATTCTCACCATGTCCTTCACATGAACAGTAACTTTCTCTGCGTCACGTGATGTGTGGGCCCCGTGCCTTCTATGAGCCCTGAATGTTGAAACCGCTCCAGAATGTCCTTCCATTGAGCCGAGATGATTCACTCCCAGAAGGTCGTGTGGCTGATGGGATGAGTCAACATACTTGTGTACTTTCACGTGGAGGGACAGATATACGAAGGTGCTTGTTATGTGTTACTTGTATTCTCCAAAACAAACAAAACAGGTTTATTTGAGCAGGTAAGGCCCCACTGAGCTATGTCGATCTTGTTCAGAAGCGACCTGGCCATCACAAATGATAACTCAACGAAGTTGCTTATCACGTGGAAATGTATAGCAGACAAATCCAACACTGTCACATGCTCACAGACAGCCAGTCACCTGCGTATTGCTCTTCTATCACTGCTACTGCTATGTATACTGATCTGTTGAAGTTCACTCGTTGATTCCTCCACTGATTGTTACGTCTCACCGTCACACTGTGTTCAACTGCCACACTGCAGGTCACAACACACTAAACTGATATTTCTGTTCTTTAGCTGTCGTGAGTGGAGCGAGAGTTGTGATGAACCACTCTCTTTGAAGTTCATCAGGAGACATGCACCATGAAGTGGGTCCTGGTCACAGCGTTCATCTCCCTCCTGCGTGAGTTCTCACCGAGAAGCACTCACCCACTGGCACATGGGCCGTGCCAATGCAGGGCCCTCACGGTACTGGTGGTTTACCAATAGAAGTTTGCTATAATAAACAGAACCAAACCGTGCTGGCCTCACCCAGGGCCAAGCAGGGCCAGGTGCAGCATATCGCATTTTTATCATGCAGGCATCACGACTCGTTCACCGAGTATGACAGCAGTACAGCACGGCTCAGCTTCTGCAGTAGAAAAACAGCCTGGCCCCCCACCTGAGCCGTGCTGGGCTGGCTCGATACAGTCCCAGCATGGCTCAGGTGTGCAGTGGAAAAGAAGTGATGTGTCACCGGCTGAGAGTCCAATGTGAATCGTCGTCACGATGACGTCGTGGCGATGGGATCCCAGTGCCAGGGCCCCCGTGTAGCCGTGAGCGTCGGTGCCTCCCGTGGTCGCGCTGCGCTGAGACGCGTCCCTCACGCTGCCCGTGTGACCACGTGAGCACTGGCGGTGAGGGAGGCAGTCACGCTCACTCACCAGGTGAGCGGTCTTCCTCTCATACAGCGGATGCTGAATAAAACTCATTGTATGTCCGTGCCTTTCAGTGAGCTGCTCGTTTTATCCACGGATGCTGGATCAGTATAAATGTGAATGTTACAGCACTGCTGTGTGTAACGGCTCCATCTAGACCCCCCTCCGTATCTCTACTATTGCTGAGTGGACCTCTGGTGAGCATTTAACAATGGTGGCCTCTCTCTCTGTGTATAGATATCTGTATTGTCTACACAATGGGAGAGTATGGCTGATCTCTTTTTGAGGGAACATCTCTAATGAGAGTGACCGGTCTCTCTCTTTGTGTAGCTGTGACGTCGGCTGTGAAGCTGCAGCTCTCCCTACCGGACAGTGTGAATGTGACTGAGGGAGAGAACGTGACTCTTCCATGCTCCTTCTCCCCACCGCCGATCAAGTCGAATGCCCTCCTCATCAAGTGGGTCATGATGCCCACACACTACTCTGAGAAGATGCCCAGATGGGATATCATCGAGGTGAGAATCTCCTTCAACTTTAACCCTGAATATTCAACTCAATAGTCGATGTCTGCATCGCCGCTTATCAGATAGTAACAAGACGTTATTTGGGGTTTTTATTCCAGATTATGATTGAAAAAGTTGCTTAAATACCCATAAATGTCACACCGAGTCTCTAGACCGTCTTTTTTAAGCAGGGTGCTCCCAATTGAGTTGATGAGAGTTTAGCTTCATGTGAGAGGAAGCCGGAGAATCTGGAAAGACCCCACATATAAAGGCGCAATACTCAAAACTATACACAGAGTCTATAAATCCATAGCTCGAACCACTCTAACGCTGTCTGCAAACCAAATCCATTGCTGAACTGCCTTCTCCTGACCACCTTGCAAACCAAGCCTACAACCCCCGACATTCCCAGACAGTCAAAGTATTGAGCAGGCTCAGCCCTGCATGGCGACCGAGATCCAGTGAGTTTGGGGAAATTCTGAATGATTTGGAGAATCGTGGTTCGTGCCATTTCAGGTCTACGACTCGCATTCTGGAAATTCGAGGCCCGGAGTGGCTGAGTTTGTGGGAGACGAGAACAGTGATTGCTCCTTCCGGATCATCAACGTCTCGAGGACCCTCGGCCCCGTGTTTAAGTGCGATGTCTACTGTTACCGCTGTGGGACAGAGGACTGCCAGGTGTTTGGAGAGGTGAAGCTGAACGTGACGGCTGCAGGTGAATGAGAGGGGAGCGTCGTGCTCACCACACGGTGGCGCTGTGACTCGCACCGTCACTCGTGCAGACGGTGGTGGGTGGGAGGTCATGGGTCAGAGATCACAGGGTGGAGGGTGCAGAGCTGGAGAGCGGTCGTTGTACAGAGAGGAGCCTCGGCAGAGAACCTCCCTGCTGCATGTGAAGCCGTGTTGAGTGAGTGGTCTCTCCCTGCTGCACGTGAAGCCGTGTTGAGTCGCTGAGTGAGGCGATGGTGCTGGGTGCGAGTGGGGGTCTCGTTGAGTCCCTCTCTGTCTCAGTCTTTGGTTCTTGACACCGCCGTCCATGTCTCTGCAGCTCCACGGTCACACGGGGAGACCTCGCCCACACCACGTGTCCACTCCAAGTGGGAGACGGTGGTGATGGTGGTGACGGTGGTGACAGTGGTGGTGGGTGTGATCTTGACATCTGTGGCTGTCATCCTCTTCATAAAGAGACACCCTTGTTCGTCTGGGAGCTCCCCCCGCTCACGCAGGTGCCCCCCCCCCCCCATCGCAGAATCCCCCCTTGCGCAGCTCCTCACGAATAAACGTGAACACAGGAGGCTGGGTTCTCAGAGGTGCTGAGTTGGCACCACTGAGCGCTTGGGGGGTCATTCCCCGTGAACTGTGCCTAGGTGTTGCTGGGTGCAGGCACCATGCGGATTGTAATCTCATGTTTTTGTTCCTCAGTGGCGATGGGCAAGCAGACGTGCACGGTGGTGTGGAGAATGGGCCTCCACTTATGGTGAATGGGGACACAAGGGGGACAATGGAGACAAAGGCATGGACGGCGTTTGAAGAAATCTTCTGTGGACTCCCCCGTGACCACCCTGGCCGGCAAGTGGAGCCACTCTTACCCACAGTGCCATGCGGAAGTGCGGTGCTGACTGCCTGTGGTTCATGAGCTGATTGTTTACAGACCGTGCTTTTATCATCTCTCTCCCTCTCTGTGACTATCCACACTCCTCTTTGACCACTTCAAATCCCTCACCGCTAAATTCTGCAGGATCCAGAATCCTGCTGCTGCCTCATTTCACAACTTCTGTAAATGAAACCTCATCATTCCAATCCTCAGATTCCCCCACTGGCTACAAATCAAATCCCGAATCGACTGGGAGATCGCATTCTCCACCTACACGATCCTCCGTAGACTCTCCGCTTCCTCTCCCCTCTAATCTCTCTGCCCTCCCATCACGTGCTCTCCGACCTCTCCCCTCCTCTCTCTGTACTCCCCTCCACGTGTTCTCCTACCTCTACCCTCTAATCTCTATGTGTTCACGTAGAATCTATTGGAGATGTACAGAACATGAAATTCACGGGCTTGTACTTTTTTAATTGGCTGCCGTGGCACAGACGGCACGCTCCTACCGGACGGTGTGGATGGTGAGAGAGGGAAGGTTGCCCAATCGATGCCGCTCTTCCGCTCGGTTCGTCTTTGTCTGCCGCACGGTTTACACGCGAGGTGCATGTCTACACTGGTGTGGAATTTGGCACCGCGTGACATTTATTCATCTATTCGTATGAGCACTTTTAAATACCGCATGTTTAACCCTGTGTTGATCACGGGTACTATGTATTAATGTTCTCCGCTTTAATATGTGCGCCGTGGTTGCGGTGCAGGTCTGAGTTGTGCTTGTCAAGGGACCTGAATGTGTGTGCATTGCACAAGTCACGAGGCCCTAAAGATTATTAATCTGGGATGGCGCCTTGGACTTGTCACGAATTAATGTGTGTTGTATCTGTACGACTGGGAAGCATTGATTTCAGGAGTCTATCCTGCTCATGGTTACTGTTGGGAGATGTGGGTCGAGAGGAGTGGTTCCCGACCTGTGAGCTGTAGACCACACGGACATGTTAATTGCCCTGCAGAACTGTTGCCGATTTTATTCACAAAACCTTTCTTGTATACACTGCAAGTTATTCCGCAATTTGTTTTGAGGGTTGACAGTGAACGTGGCTCCAGAAAGGTTGGGAACTACTGGGCTGAAAGATCCACACTGTGACTGCTTGTAAGAGATTAGTTTCTACGTGCCATGCTGCACATTTTTGGTCTTGAGAAATATTCGGCGTTCAGGTCTATAGTTTTTATATTTAAAATACTTACGATTGTAATCCTTTTTTTTGTTAATATATAGAAAATATATATTTTTAAAGCTTTGGCCAAAAATGCACGATTTGCTGGTGTAAAAGAGAAATATTTCTATTTTCTTTAAAAAAAAAACTCTGGTCCGAGAGATCCATAAACTGACAGAAATATAAAATGTTTTCAACAATACCGAGTCTTGTCTGTTAATCATCTTATCACAAAACGTCTGGAGCTGGGAAGCTCCACTGCAGGCAAGTGGAACTCTCGCGAGGGGCGAGGGGTTCGTTTTGCACGGCACAAACGTGAACGTTCATCTCAAAGGCAGGGCCCTGGCTCCACTCCTCCCAACTCCATCCCACTCCACCCCACTCTATTCCTCTCCACCCCTCTCATCTCCCTCTCCATGAATCTCCCTCCACCCCCCCTCCATTCCCCACCACCATCCCCCCCTCCATCCCCCCCTCCATCCCCCCCTCCATCCCCCTCCGTCGGGCGATTTGCCACAAGTGGTTTTAATCGCAAGCAAAGCGTTGTATTCGAATTGTGGGCTTCCTCTCCATCACACCAATGTGCTTCAGTCGCTAATTTGCACGTTTCTTGTTCACGTGACAAACCTTACTCATTGGCTGTGTCGGGTGGTGGTTCACGGACACGTTTATGTTCACGCGATCCAACCCAAACCGCCTGTGTTATGAATCAGTGAAACTCATCACGCAACTGCACTGCCCCCTGGCGGTCAAACTACGCCACTGCACAAATACACATCGACCAAAAACCCAGCGGATTCGTCTCTTTCACGTTCATCTTCCCCTCTACATCAAACATACAGAAATAAAATGCAGCCACAAAAATCTTCCTATGAGTGCACAATTTCGGCAGCACCTTAGTGGTTCAACGCCAGAAAAAAACATTCTGGGCCGGTTTCGACATTCAGTGTTTCATCAGCAGTCAGGGTCGCTTGAGAATAAAAAACACGGCGCTCAATGTGACAAAGATAAACGATGAAGGTGCAGGCCCTGCGACGGCTCGTTCACGCCACTGCAGGCGGAAGAGCCTCCACTAGAGGGCGCTCTGCACAGCCCCTCAAGCCAGGGGCAGAGGGCTTGGCGATCCGTGGTGGCTCGGATATGTTAACCACCTCGCCTGGTATACAGGAGGTCGTCTGTTTGATCCCGACCCTGACAGCTCCTGTACATTTGGAGTTTGTGTAGATGATATAAACCAGTGTGTGTATGACGCGCGCGCATATTAAATTATATAAACGTTCGCCCGCGCCAGTGCGTGCACGTGCGAGAACCGCAGTATTGATGGCGAGACACGCGTGGCAGCCTCTCCAAAGCAAGCGTGGCCACTCGCACTGACACCCACACTCACTCACTCTGCAGTACAGGGGGAGATTATACAAACTCCACTCACTCTGTAGAACAGGGGGAGATCATACAAACTCCACTCACTCACTCTGCAGTAGAGGGAGATCACACAAACTCCACTCACTCTGTAGAACAGGGGGAGATCATACAAACCCCACTCACTCTGTAGAACAGGGGGAGATCACACAAACTCCACTCAATCACTCTGTAGAACAGGGGGAGATCACACAAACTCCACTCACTCACTCTGTAGAACAGGGGGAGATCACACAATCTCCACTCACTCACTCTGTAAAACAGGGGGGATCACACGAACTCCCACGGGCAAAATAAACTTGACACAAATCGGGCGTATCCCAAAGTCGAAAACAGGCGTTCCTTGCTGCGCTGTCAACTTCTGCGGCCCATCAATGAATCAATGTGAGGCGGTAACGCTGGACCCCAGGGGCTCTTCAAGTCTTCACAGGAGCGAGCTCGCAATGCTGCAAAGGTCACTACTTAAAATTAAAAAAATGTTGACGAGGTAAGTCCCCACAGAAACGACCTGTCCATCACAAATAATAGCTCAAGGAAGTGGCTCGTCGTCATCACGCGAACATTTATCGCAGCAGTCAAAATACCTAAACGTGTGATTTCGATTCTAAATGTGGAAGGAAAAAACCGGAGGACCGTGGGGGGAGAGAGAGGCGCAGTTTCTCAATACACAGCAGTTTCGAACCCACGACCTCCTGTATACCAGGCGAGGCAGTTCACATCTCTTAGCCACCCAGATGATGATGAGAGACACGCAAACTCCAAATATGCAACAGGCGTCAGCGTCGGGATCGAACCCACGGCCTCCTATATACCAGGCGAGGTAGTTAACGTCTCCTAGCTACCCAGATGATGATGAGAGAGAGACACTGCAAACTCCAAATATACAGCAGCAGGCGTCAGGGTCGGGATCGAACCCACGACCTCCTGTATACCAGGCGAGGCGGTTAACATCGCTCGGCCAGTGATTTGAGTGAATGGTTAACGTCTATGATATATTGTGTGCGTGCAAACCGGTGGTGACGGCACGTGGCACGATAGCACCTGTGAAGGCCGGCACGGCACACAAGGGGATGGGTGGCCAACACCACACCCGGCCACCTTTGTCTCCTCAGCGGCGATGTTTACTACACACCGCACTAGGTACTTATTTGAGGCTGAGTCGACCTAGGAGAAGCCCAGGACCGGTTCAGATAATCGTCACCGTGGTTTTGGCCGTGAGCGGGAATCGAATTCGGGTCGCAGCTCAGCGTAGCGCTAACCACTGCGCCACTGCTCCCCACAAATAGAATAAGGACAAAGCTCCCCCTGTGTATAACCTTCAACAGACTGTTGGGCAGTGGCGGCTGGTGATATTTATTTTTGGGGGGGCGCATTTTTTAAATTTTATTGAGGGGGGCAAATAAATATAAAGCAGTACCAAAAGCCATTTTGACTACTTGAATATAAATTTTGATGATCTTTATTTACATTTCAGACCAAAAGAAGTACCAAAAAGCATGTTTCCTACTTGAACATAAATGTTTCTCTTTTATATACATTTCAGACCAAAGTACCAAAAAGCATGTTTCCTACTTGAACATAAATGTTTCTCTTTTATATACATTTCAGACCAAAGTACCAAAAAGCATGTTTCCTACTTGAACATAAAAACGTTAGTTTCATGCTATTATCAATATGGCTGCGGCTACTTTCATGACGTTTGCATTTGTCAGAGAGATGTTTGAGGTCTCTTACCCCCGTCGTTGTCCACAAAACTTCAGTGCCGACACTTTGAAATAAAAGACAGGGAAAACAAAAAAGAGAATTGCTAACATCACATCCAGCCAGCCACCTCCGTTTCTCATAACAAGCGCGGGTGAAGCTTCGTGTGTAGCTTCGTCCTCTGTCACTGGCCTGCTGCTGGATTTGTAAATCGGGTTGGTCCGGTCCGAGATCCTTTATCTTTTTTATTTCTTCCAGCGAAAGCCTTGTGAAAGGGTTTTTTTTGTAAATAAATTACAGAATTTGGATGAACTGCTGCCATTGTTTACACAAAAAATTTGATCAGCCTAGCAAGTGTCAAAGTGGTGTCGCCTTCGCACTCGCAGTAGTGGCCTACAGCGTAAATTTGAATGACAGGTGACGAGAACCAATCAGATTGGATAAAATAACATGTATCCAATTCTGATTGGCCAGGGACGCAACGACTTGCGCCCCGAGGAGAATCTTTAAGAAACCAATTAGAGACCAGCTTCAGGTCACATGCTGTCCGAAAATGTAAAGTCTCACATAGACATCCATTTGTCCGGCGCCCCGCATAAAACACATTGAAAAACATAGAAAATAGTTGACCGATTAAAGCCAGTTTTTATTAAATGCTGATGCTTTTCTTACTACCAGCCGGCACATCGTATGAAAAAAATATTTTATTTATGTATTTTTATATAAATTTTGTATATGTATATTTCTGGAATATTGATGGGGGCGGCGCCCCTGCGCCCTCTATTGACGAGCCGCCACTGCTGTTGGGACAAGTGCTGCTGTGAGCGAGCGGCCCTTTGAAGGCACATACACACGCGGGGACAGGGGATGTCCCTCTCTTACTAAGCTCCAGTCGCCCACGTACACACATATAGCTCAGCAGAAAAAAACAAACCCAAACAAAGACTGGCGGGGCAGGTTTTTTAGTGCGTTCAGAAATGGATGCGGGGATGCAGGAATGCGTGGGGCGTGTGGGGCATGCGAGCGTGGAGCTCATCGCGGATTGGTCGCGGGGGTGCGGTGGGCGGCCCTTGCCTCGTTGCGGCCAATGGGTAAGCCGGATGCCAACAGTGACGTCATCGTGTCACCGATATTCATGCATTATATATAAGTACATACAGATGCGGGACAAGAAGAGAGACAGAGACACGGGACTGGCTGGGGTGAGTACTCATCTAAATCACAACCTTTATTTATCCTGCACACAAAGTGTGAATAGATCCGTCTTGAATGTGTTCATGGCATCGTGGTGATATTTGCTGTGTTCTATTCTTCATATCTGTTCGAAAACATGTACAACACTTTGAATAAACGCATTTAATGTATCCTCAGTTATATATACAGTATATATAAAAGGGAAATTTGTGAATGTGTCTGTTCGAAATGTTTAGCGTACTTCCCAACATGCAACAAACGTGAAATTTGGCATGTGGGTAGCTTCCAGACTGTACACCATGCAACAAGTATAAAAATAGACTTTTGTATTTGGGGGGGGCGCAATAATGGGTATATTTTGCACGGCAAGTGAGCGGTGACGTCACATGTGATTCATATTCTTAGGTTTTTTCGGTAAAGTCACGTAGGTAAAACATCAAAATTAATAAAAATAAAATAAAATAATTTTGATGTTTTACCTACGTGACTTTACCGAAAAAACCTAAGAATATAAATCCTTGCAGTCACGAAAGCTTCAAATCTAGAGTCACATGTGATGTCGCCCGCATGCGGCAGCGTCACGCAGTGTACCTGCTGATGTCACGCATCCCCCCCACCCTCCGCGTAGGCCGTGTGTTAATCCAATAGAGGAATCCAAGTCTCGGGCGAAGCCGGGTAGGAAAGCTAGTCGACAATATATTAAACTAAATATGAAAGAAATGTAGATAACGATTTTTTTATACTTTGATACTGGAAAAAAGGTCCTATGATGAATTATATTATTTTTTAAATAGAGATTCCGATTGTTAGCATGTCCTTCACATGAACAATAACACTCTCTGCGTCACGTGATGTGGGCTTCGTGCCTCCTATGAGCCGTGAATGTTGAAACCGCTCCAGAATTTCCTTCCACTGAGCCCCTGTTGCTGAGATGATTCACTCCCAGAAGATTGTGGCTGATTGGATGACTATTTTATGTTAAAATATCCATCTTCCATCAAGCAAAGGGCATTGCGAGCAAGCTTAAAGCCTTTGTGAGTGGAGCAGTGATGCAGAGGTTAGACGTGCTCCGATGCAGGGTGACTGCTGCTCATGGCTGACATCAGTGGCGAGTGGTATCTGAACCGGTACAGCAAGCACCCACTTTACCAAACCGCACTGAGCGGTGTGCTGAAGTACGCTAACACTTTCTCCATGACCAACTCCACCAAGATGGCGGCGGCGTGTGAGTGAGCTGTCTGTGTGTTTAAATTGAGATTGGCGGGTGCAGGGGGGTTTAATCGTTTAGTCGGGTTTAATTGTGTTCTTTGTCCATCAGTCCATCATCTCTTTCCTTCATCTCTCTCGTGAGTGTAAATATTCATTACAGTATTCATTAAAATACAAATGCACGTTTATTCTAATTGAAGGTTTAGTAACTTAGTTTTTTTAGTTTTGAGTTTAAATTTGATTAAGGCCTAGTCCGTTAGCGCGTCACCTAAAGCCCACGGCTTTTTGTAAATTATTTTCAAGAGTTTGTTAATTTTTGTAAATGTATGCACTTTCAGATATAAATGTACGTGTCTGTATTTATTCATATACTGTACATCGAACTCGGGTCACCGGGTTCATAATGCAACAAGATACAAATACACATTTATTCTAATTTATTTTTTTTTTCACTTTATTTATTGAGTTTAAATGTGATAAAGGCCTAGTCCGTCAGCAACTCACCTAAAGCTCTCACCTTTCTGTATATTTTTTGTAGTTTATGTTCATTTGTGTACATTTATTCACTTTCAAATATAAATGTACGTGTCTATATTTATTATAATACAAATGCACGGATATTTATTTAAATTTAAGGTTTACTTTGTTTATTAAGTAAAAAATTATCCAGGCCTAGTTCGCCAGCGCCTCGTCTAAAGCCCTAGGCTTCAGGCTTTTCGCATTGTGTATTTATTATCCTTTAAGGTTTATGAATGAATAAGAGGAAGCCACTGGGGCAGATTGAAAAATACTTTCTTTAGAACAGTTTTTTTGCGTGTTGAGTTTGTTGTCCTTCCCCCGCACCTCCGATTATCGCGGTCGGCTGTGTACGGTGCGAAAGAAGTTCAACGTAGGTCTGTGAGCTGCTCACACGAGAGGGCCTGGTGACACCCAGGATGGGTCGTAGGCAGGCCTCCCGGGACGTTTAAAACCGCTCAGATATCCAACTCAACACTCACAAACACTCACAGTGACAACCGCAATTTGCCGCTAAGTGGTGGTGATGTCACCTCGACGCTTGTGCCAGGCTATGTGCACGATGCAGGTGCCACGGGTCGACTGACACACAAACACACTCAGACGAAGACCCCCATTTAGCCTTCACGTGCTTTTAGGGCAAGTGCTGTTCCCGAGCAACATAAATGGGGGCCGGCATGGCACAGGAGGATGTGTGTGGGTAGCACCAGGCCCGACTGCCTTTGTCTCCCTAAGTCACAGGGAGCAGCACCCAGGGCCATGCGGACCGCCTTGGTCGTGATGGTGAGGAGTGACTCGTCGCTCATGCTCGTGTGAAGTGCACGGAGAGTCTGTGGCGGAGTGGTTGAGCAGACTGAGACAGCCACGGCAAAAGGACTACGATGCCATGGCAGAGGTGATGGTGGTGAAGGAGGGCTGGCTCTGCAAGCGTGCTGCAAGCATATGACGCAGGCGATGAGAAATCAGGCGCACAGGCCGAAAAGACGCTCACTGTCCTCCAAGCTCGAGGATATGAGTACATGCAACGACCTGATCGGCAAGCACGGAGCCGCCCTCCAGCACTCGCTCAACGACCTGGAAACCCTTAAGCTGCCACCCGCTTGCAGCGAGAAGCTAAAGGCCGTCAATGAGCGCGCCACCCTCTTCCGCTTCACCTCCAGTGCTATGATCAATATGATCTCTTGCTCTGATGTCACATTGAGGGCGGTGCTCATCTCAAAAAACTCAAGCACACGGGCGAGAAGCCATGCATGTGTGATGAGTGCGGCAAGACGTTTCTCACGCTCGGCCTACAAGAATTTTTTTCCGCTTGTGTTAAACTGTGTACCCTTGATATTTTAAAGATGGCAGTTCTGCTGTGTATCCTACTGCTGTCCCTCCTGGCCATATATAGTGCCACACTCAACTCTACCACCAGCAACCCTCGTTACTTCTCGTCCATACTTGTTGCTCAATTTGCCACTACACCTGCTAATGAAACAGCTTATAGACACTTCTACACTCCATCATTTTATCCTTTTAAACCCTATCTCTATCCCATTACTTCACCAGCACTCCTTCCAAACTTCATTCTGTTCTTTAAAAATATCGCCATCTGCGAGCTGCTGCTATTCGTCCAAGGTTCGCCGCTCTTAATCTTTTCACAGAAAATACCTGTGCAAACTATTCATTCTACTTTTCTTATTTCTGGGAGGTATTGAGCTTCATCCTGGCCCAAATGTAAAGAACTTGTATAATTCTGTAGATTTTTCTGGCAGAAAAGGTGTTGGTGTTCTACATGTCAACATCCAAACTAGAAGTGGCAAATTTGGACCCGGACATTTTTTGCCTTACAGAAACACTTCTAACTTCTGCCGTTAATGACTTGCAGATTATGATTGACAACTACAACATTTTTCGGCTTGACCGAGGGTCTAAAATAGGTGGAATTGCCATCTATGTTCGTAATACTATTGCATGTTCACCTGCTCACTCCTTGTTAAAAATATGTTGCTTTGAAGGTCTGGCTCTTAGAATAACTCTCCCAAATAATCAACAGATATTGGTAGTGTGCTGCTATAGATCGCCTAGCGGTAAGGATGTTGAAGCTGCGTCTGCACTGAGAGAGCTTCTTGGGGGCTACCCTAATGGTGAAATAGTGTTAGTGGGTGATCTGAATTGGAATTGGCTAAACCTGCCGGCCGTGGCCACAAATATTGCAGATGAATTTAACTTATTTCAATTAATAAATGTCCCCACAAGACCCAACCTAAAAACATCCATGAGTCATCTCTGCTTGACGTCCTATTGACAAGTGCCCCTCACAATTTCACACAGACTCCTTCATATTTGGGGTGAGATCATCAGCCTGACCCAAAGCCCCCCCCTAAATTGGTTGAGAAGCACTCCATGAGACACTTCAGCATACAGGCATTTACTATGGATGTGCTTCACTCGAATATTGACAAGGTCTGTGATATCCGCAACCTGACTACGGCTTGGGAGACTTTCAGGTACACGTTTCTCCAAATTCTTAACAAACATGCTCCATTGGTTAGATTTAAAATTAAAGGCAACCGCCCACCATGGTTTGATCCTTTGATTACTAAGCTCATGAAAACTAGGGACAAGGCTTGGGCATGTGCTTAGAAAAGTAATTTGGTTAATGACTGGCTAGAATACAGGATTTTAAGAAATAGAAGCGTAAAAAAGAATACGGAATGCTTACTTTTCCTCCACTCTCTCCTGGAATCACATGGAAAATGCCAGGATCTTCTGGAAAACAATCAAATGTATCGAAAAGGCATCCAACACAAATAAGCTGCCCGTTGCGCTTAACTGAAATGGGGACTATTTTTCAGAGCCCCAAAAAATAGTCGACAATTTTAACCTTCATTTGTCTGAAGCTGGTGACCTTTTTGATCATGTATTGGAAGTCACCCCTGCTCATGCAATTTCCTACACCCCTGTCCAAAAATTAAACGAATTTATTTTCCAGCCTATCCACGAAAGTAATGTTTTGAAACAACTGTCCTACCTCAAAGGGTCCTCCTCTACCAGTGCAGATAGTATTCCCTTCTTTGCTCTGCTGTTGGTCACCTAATATACAAAACTATAGCCCATATTTTCAACCTGTCCATCAAAGAAGCATCAGTACCTCTAGAATAAAAAACATTCCTATGTTCGTCCACTTCACAAAGGGGGCCCTAAAGATGATCCAAATAAATACCGACCTATCTCAATTTTGTCCCCGTTGATGCAAATTTTAGAAAAAAAATTTAACTACCAAATTATCAGTTTCCTGTCCGACAACAATTTATTACATCGAAATCTCGGTTCCGAAAAAATACAGCACCACATCTGCTGCATTAGACTCTCCGAATCACATTTAAAGTAGCCTTGATAATAAGCAGTACTGCGCCAGTCTTTTTCTTGACTTGTCCAAAGCCTTTGATACAGTCGACCACAACACCCTGCTTAGTAAACTAAGTTGCTTCCGTTTCTCCAAACACGCAGTAGAATGGTAAAAAATGCCCTCTCTTCTCACACACAAAGTGTATTCATAGATGTGTATTTAGTGTACTTTTTCTGTATCCACTCGTTTTTTGTCGTTCTTATGTTCGGCTCCGTCTGTGTGTCTCCGTTCCTCTTGTTTCATGGTTTGTCTTTTGGAATTTTCACACTTAAATTCTAACTTAGCAATCTTTGAAATACGTAATCGACCAGGCTATGCGTTAATTGTGTGTTGACTGACTCTCTGTGTTGTATTACATAACATTTCAATATTTTGCTAGGTTATTTAATTTAGTGTGTTCTTTCTCCTTCTCTCCTAATGTTCAGCTTGCGTACTTTACTACCACGCGTCTCCGTACCCATTGACATGTTAATTTTTCTTCTAACCCCTCCATCCCTCTGCCTCCGCCCCCTGTCTATTTAAGGCCTCGCCAGAGACGATCTCTCTCTCTGTGCCTGTGTTTCTCTCTATGTATCTTGGTGATATCTGTCTGCTTATATGTCTGTCTATAGTTTTCTGGTTAGATTTTTTGTTTCTATTTCATTTATACCTGATGATGATTGCTTGTGTTGCAATCGAAACGTCGTATGCTATTATTAAATTATTGTATCTTTATATACGTGACTTTACTGAAAGAACCAAAAGAGAAGAAGAATAACAAAAGGGGTTCCACAGGGTTCCATCCTCGCCCCCCTCTTGTTATGTCAATGACTTGGGCACTGACCTGGATCATTCCAGGGTAAATCTGTTTGCAGATGACACGATACTGATTACTGCTGGCCACTCTCCGGATGACGCGATTGCTAAGCTCCAGGGTGATTTCAACAAACTACATCAGCTGTTGCTCTTAAACTAGTCCTGAGTACCTCCAAAACGAAGGTGTCATGCTTCTCACCAGGACTAAAGCAGGAAGTTATTTTTCCCCAATTATATTCCTTAAATAATCATCAAGTCAAGATCTATAAGTATCTTTGGGTCATCTTTGATTCAAAACTGAATTTTCAAGATCACATTGATTATATTGGTAAAATTACTAAATCAAAAATTGGTTTTCTGTATAGACAAGCACTGCTTCCCGCCTATGTTCCGCTTGGAATTGATAATAAAACTACCGTACTGCCTCTACTTGATTACTGTGACCTCGTATATAATTCAGCCCCCAATACTATACTGAAGCTTGACTTAATTTATCACTCAGCCTTAAGATTTGCATTGAACTGCCCATAGAGGATCCACCACTGCGATCTCTATATTGGGTCAAACTTAACTTCTCTTAATGATCGACGGCTTGTGCATCAGATCTTATTTATTCACTATGTATTTACAAAAAAATCCAGACTACCTGGTGGATCTCCTCACTGTTTCGAAGAACAAATGTGACCTAAGGTATTTGCCCAGCTTCACATTCCGTATTGCCGTACAAATGTAGTGTGTTTTACGGAAGGCAGAGACGAATCTCTTGGAGGCAATGTGTTTATTCAATAACGCTACACGTACAGCACAGTTTTTCACAAGGGCAACGGCCCTTTCTAACTACCGCCTGGGTAGGCACGGCCTCCGGACTCGTGTGCTCTAACACGGGGCTACGGGCTCTCAGTCCTCCGGCTACGAGTGACCTAGGGGAGGCTACACTGACCCAACCCAGCCATGGTACGGGTCTCGACCACTGGCCCACTCGGACCCGGCCCTTACACGGACGTCGGGCGGGGGGTTTCCAGGGTCTCACCACTTGCCTACAGAGTCCCAGCCTTACAAGGGCAGTGGGGCTAGGGGTCCCAGGGTACGAGCTCGCTGGTCTTCTGGCTTCGGTCTTGGACTGGCCCCGGACACTTCCAGAGGTCCGGCTTTTATACACCTCCCCGGTGTCAGCCCCTGGCCACGCCTCCCTTCCAGAGAGTTCTAGGGGGGTCTCGGGATCCTAGGACACCCCGCAACCCCCTCTTATTGGGAGGGGTCTTGGGGGATCCCAGAACACCTACAGCTTCCTCCTGCTTTGGGGCTGGGGAATGTAGCGAGCCACTGCCCCTGATTGGCCGTGTCTGCTACTGCAGGTAAGTGCACGCAGCCCATTTACAGCACTACACAAATACTGGAGGAAGGGCCTTTTCTATTGATGCCCCCTGGGTCTGGAATGCTATCGCTGATTAACTGCAACTTGAATCACTACCTGTGAGATCTTCACCCAAAACTGCTCTAGAGGAGTTGTACACCCCTAGCTGCCACTGATATTCAGAATGGCCTGAAATCAAATGTATCGTTTCGAATGACCAATGCAAAGTATGATCTTCAGTTTTTTTTTATAGTCTGATCTTTAAAGGTGTATTGAATTTTTTTTATTCTGCTACTGATACTCCTGCTGTTATGGAGTGACTCATGCAGCCAGTTATGGCTGCAAATTTGGTCGTACATGTTATGTATATAGTTTGTTAAATTTGAATCACAGTTTCTATGATCACTGTTACATTGTTTTTACAGCTTTATTTTGGTGATTTGGAAAACGTGTTGGTTTAGCCATATTTATTTGTTGTAGTACAGAGTTAGACTGATAACTTTAATCTACATTGTCTTATGGTTGTTATTGTTTGACTTGCATCCCAATGGGATTTTTGCACACAGCGTTGATATACGGTGTATTTTCTGGAAGACTTTGCTGTTATTTCATGGATGTTTCTGTTGCGCGTTGTCACTTTAAGATGTTCCTTGTTCATGTTTTTGTTGCGGTTGCACCCGATTCAAGAGCCACATTGCTCACAGGGTTATACCTAATAAATGAAACTGAAAATGTATGTGTACTTTCACGTGGAGGGACAGATATACGAAGATGCTTGTTCTGTTACTTGTATTCTCCAAAACAAACTAAACTATTTTTATTGACCAGGTAAGACGCCACTGAGCTATGTAGCTCAGTGGCGTCCTGGCCATCACAAATGATAGGTCAACGAAGTGGCTTGTCGCATGGAAATGCATAGCAGACAAATCCAACACTGCCACATGCTCACAGGCAGCCAGTCACCTGCATATTGCTCTTCTATCGCTGCTACTGCTCTGTATACACCACACTGCAGGTCACAACAACACACTCACCCACTCACCACCCTACAGGTCACAACACACTCACCACACTGCAGGTTACAACACACTCACCCACTCACCACACTGCAGGTCACAACACACTCACCCATTCACCACACTGCAGGTCACACCAACACACTCACCCACTCACCACACTGCAGGTCACAGCAACACACTCACCACCCTGCAGGTCACAACACACTCACCCACTCACCACACTGCAGGTCACAACAACACACTCACCCACGCACCACACTGCAGGTCACAACACACCCACTCACCACACTGCAGGTCACAGCAACATACCACCCTGCAGGTCACAACAACACACTCACCCACTCACCACACTGCAGGTCACAACACACTCACCCACTCACCACATTGCAGGTCACAATAACTCACCCACTCACCACCCTGCAGGTCACAACACTCACCCACTCACCACACTGCAGGTCACAACACACTCACCCACGCACCACACTGCAGGTCACAACAACACACCCACTCACCACACTGCAGGTCATAACACACTCACCCACTCACCACACTGCAGGTCATAACACACTCACCCACTCACCACACTGCAGGTCACAACACACTCACCCACTCACCACATTGCAGGTCACAATAACTCACCCACTCACCACCCTGCAGGTCACAACACACTCACCCACTCACCACACTGCAGGTCACGTTTCTCTTTCTGCTTCTTACCTCGCACTGCTCTCTATTTGTAAATTCTCTCCATCACCGTCTCTTACAAGAAGCGTGTTCGCTTTATCGATTACACATTCAACAGTGCAGTTTGTTGCTGGCTCTACCAAACCGTCTGTTCCCTCATTGGAATGCATTCCGGCTCACCATGCCCCACTTTAACCGCTGGTGGTGAGTGGAGCGAGAGGTATGATGAACCATTCTCTTCTGTGTTCATCAGGAGACGGAGGCACCATGAAGTGGCCCCTGGTCGCAGCGTTCATCTCCCTCTTGCGTGAGTTCACAGCACTCACCCAGCACAAGTAGAGCGGTCTCCTTCAGACCCCTTTCCCACCGGCACAGCCGAGCCGTGCCAGCCCCGAGTCCTGGCGGTCCTGGTGGTTTTCCACTAGCAGTTTGCTGCACTGAGCCAGAACCAAATCACCCTGGCCTAATAAGACGTCGGAATTTCGCGCAGGGCCAAGCAAGGCCAGGTGCAGCTTTTTTAATTTTCAACATACATACATCTCGACTCGTTCACGGCATGGCTCAGCCTTTGCAGTGGAAAAACAGCCTGGCACCCTCCTGAGCTGTGCTGCATCGGCTAGGCACAGTCCCAGCATGGCTTAGGTGTGTAGTGGAAAAACAGTGATATGTAACCAGCTGAGAGCCCAATGGAGGTCATCATCATCATGACATCATGGCGATGGGATCCCAGTGCCCCCGTGTAGCCGTGAGTGTCGGTGCCTCCCGTGGTCGCGCTGCGCTGAGACGCGTCCCTCATGCCGCCCGTGTGACCGCGTGAGCACTCACGGTGAGGGAGGCAGTCACGCTCACTCACCAGGTGAGCGGTCTTCCTCTCATACAGCTGATGCTGAATGAAGCAAATTTTAGGTCACTGCTCTTCAGTGAGCTCCTCGTTTTGGTATGCACTGATACTGGGTCAGTGTAAAGGTGAATGTTGCAGCACCACTGTGTGTAACGCCTGCATCTAGACTCCCGCTGGCCCTGCTATTGCTGCGTAAACCTGTGGTGAGCACTTTAACAACAGTAACCAGTCTATCTAGACATCTGTGTTGTCTATAGTGATAAGAGTTTAGCTGATCTCTCTCTGTGGGACATCTCTCATGAGTGACCGGTCTCTCTCTTTGTGTAGCTGTGACGTCTGCTGTGAAGCTGCAGCTCTTCCTGCCGGAGAGTGTGGATGTGACGGAGGGAGAGAGCGTGACTCTTCCCTGCTCATTCTCCTCACCACCGACCGTCTCAAGTGCCCTCTACATCACGTGGCTCACAATGCCCACAGGCTACATAGTAAGCATGCACAGATGATATCAATGTGAGAACCTCCTTCCACGTAAACTCTGAATATTCAACTCAGTAATTGAGGGATACGTTATTTGGGGGTTGTTTTGTTCCCGAATAATAAAATGGTCGCTGAATCACCCCGCAATGTCGCACCGAGTCTGAAGATCCTATTTATAAGCAGGGTCCTGGCATTTGAGTTAATGAGGGTTTAGAATCATGTTGAGAGGAAACTGAAGAACTGAGAGGAAAACGACACCAAACAAGGGGATGATGGGCAAAGCTCTACACAGACTCAATCCATAGGTAGAACCACTCTTAAACACTGTCTGGAAATCAAATCCATGGCTGTATCACAATCTCATGGCCATCTTGCAGCCCAAGCTTACAACCCCCGGCATCCCCAAAGTATGAAGCAAGCTTCAGGTTCATTGTGATTTGATCGTAGGATTGTGGTTCACGTTCTTATTTGTGTTTTGTGCCATTCCAGATCTATGACTCGCATCTTGGTAATCTCTGGCTTGGAAGAGCTGAGTTTGCGGGAGAAAAGGAAAAGGGCGACTGCTCCCTCAGGCTCCTCAATGTCGCCACGACCCTCAGCCCCGTGTTTCAGTGCGATGTCATATGTACCAGCTGCGGGATGAAAGATTGGAAGGTGGAACGAGAGGTGAAGCTGAACGTGACGGCTGCAGGTGAATGAGGGGAGCGTCGTGCTCACCACACGGTGGCGCTGTGACTCGCACCGTCGCTTGTGGTGGGTGGGAGGTCAAGGGTCACATATCACAGGGTGGAGGGTGCAGAGCTGGAGAGCGGTCATTGTACAGAGAGGAGTCTCGGTAGAGAATCTCTCTGATGCAAGTGAACCCGTGTTGAGCGAGTCGTGTCTTCCTGCTGCATGTGAAGCCGTGTTGAGTCGCTGAGTAAGGCGATGGTGCTGGGTGTGAGTGGGGGGTCTCGTTGAGCCCCTCTCTGTCTTTGGTTCTTGACGCCGTCGTCCGTGTCTCTGCAGCTCCACGGTCAGGCGGGGAGACCTCGCCCACACCACGTGTCCACTCCAGGTGGAAGACGGCGGTGGCGGGGGGCTTGATCCTGGGAGTTGTGGCTGCCATCGTCGTCTACTTAATTTATCGTCGCTCGCGCAGGTTCAGTTCAGTTCATTTATTTGGTATAGCCCTGTGAGCCATGTGACTCTTGAATCGGGTGCAACCGCAACAAACAAAAACATGAACAAGGAACATCTTAAAGTGACTACGCGCAATAGAAACATCCAGGAAAAAACAGCAAAGTCTTCCAGAAAAAGCACCGTATATCAACGCTGTGTGCAAAAATCCCATTGGGATGCAAGTCAAACAATAACAACCAAAAGACAATGTAGATTAAAGTTATCAGTCTAACTCTGTACTACAACAAATAAATATGGCTAAACCAAAACGTTTAAGAAATCACAAAAATAGAGCAGGTGCCTACAGCCAACCCCCCATCCCACCCCCTAGCTCCTCACGAATGAACGTGAATGCAAGAAGCTGAGCTGGGTTCCCAGTCAGACGCTGAGTCAGCACCACTGAGCACCTGGGGGGTCATTCTCTGTGAACTGTGTCCAGGTGTTGCCGAGTGCAGGCACCGTGCGGTTTGTAAACTCGTGTTCTTGTTCCTCAGTGGCGATGGGCAAGCAGACGTGCACGGTGATGTGGAGAAGAATGGGCATCCACTGATGGAGGTGAATGAAGACAAGGGGGGAAACGGAGACAAAGGCACGGACACCGTTTGAAGAAATCTTCTGTGGGCTCCCCTGTGACCACCCTGGCCGGCACGTAGAGCCGCTCTTACCCACAGTGCCATGCGGGAGTGCAGTGCTGTCTGTGGTTCATGAGCTGATTGTTGACAGACCTTGCTTTTATCATCTCTCTTCCTCTCTGTGACTCTCCACACTCCTCTTTGGCCACTTCAAATCTCTCACCGCTAAATTCCACACGATCCAGAATCGTACTGCTGCCTCCCATCACAGCTTCTGTAAATTAAACTTCATCATCCCAATCCTCAGATTCCCCCACTGGCTCCGAATCCGGTCCCCAATCGACTGAGACATCGCACTCTGCACCGACACGATCCTCCATAGACTTTCCGCTACCTCTCGTCTCTCTGTTCAGGGGGTCCCCAATATAGGTCAGGGTTATTGACAGAAATGTTGCGACTTATAATGAAACGATGTATAGCAGGGACTTTTCCCTCATAGTAATACTACTCCGTGTTAATGGAGGGAAGATGGGGACCGTAAGAGCGTAAACATTGCCTATGCGACACAAAGTGGAGCAGTTTCTCCCATAAGAAACAATGGAATAAGGTAGGGATAGGGACCGTACCTTAGGGAAATGTTGTTTCATTCCTAGCAACCAAAATACGTACTTTACATGTACAGACAACTACATACTCTATGTGTACAGAACTTTACAACACAATGTACACACATTTATAACCAATTATGAGTTCAACAATTGTTAAACAGCATTTAAACTTATCAAGCACTTTATTGAAAACCAGTTTATTAGCATTTCGAAGCAGCCCTCTACACTTTAAACCGTTTTCCTTTTCTTAACAGAAAAATAATTTGGGACATTTTTATGCAAAGACTCGGGCAGAAAACAATTTTTAGTGGAAAAAAGCACTAAATCATGAACAGCTTTTTAAAAAGATGTTAACTTAACCTATATTGTTTATGAAATGTTACGTTACGTTCCTCAAAATATCAGCGACGTGAGTGCGAAACAAGGTAGGGTGTGTGTATATCGAGACTATGAACATCAGGGAGCCCCTGCACTCCCCACCACGTGTTCTCCACTCAAGCAAACAAGCCATTCTGTCAAAACCCTCAGTCAACCCCTCAATGTCTGTTCGCTTATTCTCACCCAATCATTCAACGAGGCTCCATGAGTCGCAAGACACTTTGTACACGTGGGAGGTAACTGGAGTAACCTTTAATTCACACACATGGGAGTCAGTCCCACTTGCCCCACTACCTTTTCCTTGCCACTTCATAGCCCAGTGGGTTCAGGGGAATCTCACAAATCTGTGATTCGTGAATCCTCAACTCCATGGCACCCCGCCGCTCTCACCGCAGATTCCCCCTGCTCACGTCCAGGCTCCAGACGTTTCCATCTTTCCATCTGTGTCTCTCCTCGCCTGGGCTGCACCACCGCTGTCTTCCATCTCCCGAGAGGTCCATGCAGATTCCCTACAGCCGCTTCCTTATCCACTGAATGTGTCAGCATTGTGTCTGTGTGTGAACCTGAGTGGGTGTGTGAGTTGTGTGTTTGCTTGTGTATGTGTGAGCCAGAGGGGGTGGTATTGGAGTGTGGTTGTGGTGTAATAACAGTTGTGTGTGTGGTGTTAAGGGATCAGAATCTGTGTGCATTGCCCACACTATGCACGAGTCTGACGACTCAAGAGGTTCTCACACTGGGACTGTTTGGCACATTCTTTATTGACCATTGGGAGGTGTGGGTCAAGAGGAGTGGTTGAACCTATGGGCCATAGCCCATGGCAATCCACGAGGCTGTGGGAATTGCTCTGCAGAACGAGTTAAGACCCCGCGATGTTACTCACAAAGCCATCTTTTTTTACTGCAAGTTCTCCGTCACGTTTGTTTAGAGGGTTGGCAGTGAACGTGGGTCCGGAAAGGTTGGGAACCACTGGTCTTAGAAGATGCATATTTTCAGTGAGAGTAAGACATTGGTATAGAAGCCTCATGCATGAAATAATTAGTGTTGGGAAAATGTTGCCTTTATGGTGCAGATTTTATGTATTTACGGTTGTAAATATTGTTTTATGAAATCTCTATATTGCAAACATTGGCTGTTTTTTTGAGCATGTAAACTTATGGTATACATGTTTGCTATGAGAAAACATTGGTGTAAAACCACTCGTATTTTCTATTTTTATAGACATGAACCTTAGGTCAAAATCGTAATTAATCAATTATTTATTGGCGACTCCGTCCCACCGCGCACACAAACGCCGCGACCCGCCTGGCGCGGATCGTTCTGTTGTCATGTCCTGTCCAAGCGCAGCAGCGAGGACGAATAAGCAGAAGAGCTAAACAATCGAATGCACTCCTTTTACAACATGAACAGCGCATTGAAAACGCGTACTATTTAATGTACTGTTTACAAAGTGTGTTCACAAATCCACACTGAGAAACACGATGATTGACAGAGGGGTATAAATTATTGTTTCGCTAGTGTATTTAAATAGAGGTACTGCAGGTTAGTCGTTTTCAGGTGACAAAGAGCAAAGTTTTACACCATTGGAACCTCATTTGCCAGTAAAAATATGATAATTGTTTTTTACCCTTCGATCTGGCAACAAAACCGACACCTTTTTAATTTAGATAATATAATATTTATGCAAGAGCTGGGGGCTTATGGGACCCCGGGGTCCACCATGAGGTTCAAATGCTGGTCGCCAAAAACTCATAAGGCAATAAAAAAAATTTTGCAGCCATAGCGAGTCTTGTCTATTAATCATCTTATCACAAAACATCTGTAGCTGGGAAGCTCCACTGCAGACAAGTGAACCCTCGCGAGGGGCGAGATGTTCGTTTTGCACGGCACTAACGTGAACGTTAATCTCGAGGGCAGGGCCCTGGCTCAAGCTCCCTCCATCCATCCATCTCCATCCCACTCCAACCCTCTCCATCTCCCTCCATCTCCATCCCTCTTCAGCCCTCTTCAGCCCTCTCCATTCCTCTCCATCAGGAAATTTGCCACAAGTGGTTGTAATCAGAAGTGAAGCGTCGTACTCGAATTGTAAATGTTGTGGACTTACTATCCATCACACCGATGTGGTGAAGTAGGCGCTAATTTGCACGTTTCTTGTTCACGTGACAAACCTTACTTTTTGGCTGTGTTGCGTGGTGGTGTGTTCACGACACGTTTATGTTCACGCGATCTCACCCAAACCGCCTGCGTTATGAATCACTGAAACTCATCACGCAGCTGCACTTCCCCCTGGCGGTCAAACCACGCCACTGCACGATTCCACATAGACCAAAAACCCAGCGGATTCATCCCACGTTCATTTGTCCCCTCCACATCAAAAATAAAATGCAGCCACAAAAATATTTCTGAGTGCACAATTTTAGCAGCACCCTTGGTGGTTCAACTGCAGGAAAAACATTCTGGACCGGTTGCGACATTCAGCGTCTCATTGGCAGTCAGGATCGCTTGAGAATAAAAACACGGCTCTCAATGTGAGAAAGATAAACTATGAAGGTGCAGCCCCTGTAACTGCTCGCTCACGCCAATGCAGGCAGAAGGGTCTCCACTAGAGGGCGCTCTGCACAGCCTCTCTAACCAGGGGCAGAGGGCTTGGCGATCCGTGGTGGCTCGGAGATGTTAACTACCTCGGCTGGTATACAGGAGGTCGTGTGTTCGATCCGGACCCTGACAGCTGCTGTACATTTGGAGTTTGCGGTGTCTTTCTTCCCGTGGTCGCGTGGATTTTTCTCCAGGTCCTCCGGTTTTTCCTTCCACGTCTAGAATCAACACGCCCTTAGCGTATTTGGCTTCAATAAATGTCCACGTGGTGATTTGGTACTAGGTTGAGCTGTCATTTGTAGTGGCCTGCAGGTCGCTTCTGCAAAAGAGCGACATAGCTCAGTGGGGCCTTACCTGGTCAAATAGGCTTTAACTATAAATATTATTTCAGTTGCACCGTGTATTAGGTTGAGAGAAAGACAATCTCACAGTGACAGTACCAATGAATAATGTAAAGGTTATAATACTCCGTTAAGTAAAATAAGAATAAATTATTTATAGTTTGTAAATCACAACACGACCACAGCAGTCACGGCGCTTCGTCAGTGCACTGCTGGATGAAGGCCTCGCCAAGCCGCTGTGGGTCGTGGTGATTGTTGGACCAAACTTCACCACGGGTGGTGGTGGCTATGCACGTGACCTGTGACCCAGCGCTGTGGAGGCAGCAGCAGGGAGGGTTGGTGGATCACCGCACACAGTTTTCAGAACTTCCCTCTCGTGGCCGTGGAGGATGCGTCGTACCCCGGGACTCGCCACGAGAGGGCGGCACAGCAAAGTGAGATGATCATAGAGGCGCCACTCTTTTATCACGGAGGGCATCACGCGAGCACAGTAGCCATACTTTGTGAACTCTATCTCTGGGACATTTTTTGCCAGTTTTGAAAATTATGAAAAAAATAACAAGGTTTTACCCTTTCTGGCAATAAAACAGTTGTGTTAAGATATTCAAACACCAAATATATGATACCTTTGGCAAGGCATCAAGTCTGCATGAACCACAACATACTTGTGGTAAAACATGTAAACAAGGCAGCATTTATCTTCTTGGTTCTTTCGGTAAAGTCACGTAGAAGGGAAGTAATAAAATAATAAAAATCAAACATAATAAAACAATTCTCACGACGTTTCGGCCACAACGCAAGCAGCCGTCCTCAGGTGAAAACCAGGTCCGTCGAGGCGACAGAGTCTGAATGAAACAGCACACGGGCTTGGAGCATATATATAAGCTGGGCGCATTGACAAAGGAATTTGCATATCAACAGGAATTTAGCATATTTATGGGAAATGCAGGAATGTAATTAGTACTGCATATGCATGTGCATTATACAGGATTAACAGCATCAAAGGGAGCTGCAGTTACTGCTGCTGCAGTAGTTGCTGCTGCTGCAGTTGCTGCTGCTGCTGCACTTGCTGCTGCTGCTGCACTTGCTGCTGCTGCTGCAGTTGCTGCCTTATCCATTTTAATATAACACTATGTATTATTCTACCCACCCTAATGTGTATCATACTGCTATATGTTTACTGTACAATTACGACACCATACATTACTCTGCACACTGCACCATGCCAGTGAGTGGAACGCGGTCTGAAAGTCACCGTTAACGTGAACACAATCAGTTAAGATCCGAAATGGTTTATTACGTCCTTCCAATGATTGCTAAGCCAGAATCCATCTTCTCGGTTGAAATTGTCTCTGTGTTTGTATATGTGGATCGCCTCATGAACGAATCTCTCATGATAGCCAGATGGCTTGCAGAGAACCTCTGTCTTGGAGAAGTCAATGTCATGTGTGACTTTACCGAAAGAACCAAGAAGATGAATCCCTGCAGTCACGAAAGCTTTAAATCGAAATTTAAGGCAGCATTTATTTTTGCCTTTCTTCGAGTGTGGCCAACGTGATCCTTGAAATGAAGTTGAGTCTACGATGACCCCAAGGTAATTCGTTTCATCTGCCTGCTCAATTTTTTCATTATCTAAGACTGCATCGCTGAGGAAGACTTGCCGGTTGTCTTTTCCTTGGAAACACTTCACCTTTGCTGTATTGGCATTGAGGACTAGCTTAAGTGAGATTAGTCGGTGCTGGAATCTAAATCACTCTGTAATTCCTGTGTACATCTTCGGGGTAATTGCCAGCAGCCCTCAAAATGGTGTCATCAGCAAATATGTTTAATCTAAGAGTGGTCAAGCTGGGTGCCCAAGTCATTGACATACAGGGAGAACAAGATATGTCAAAAAACGGAACCTTGAGGTACAACCCTTAGTAACTTCAATTTTGTTAGACACCAGAATGGCAATGGATACGACCCGATTCCGTCAAAAAAGGTAGCTTTTGAACCAGTCAACTGTGTGCTCGGAAAATCGTAGCCTTCGAAGTCTATATAATAAAATGCTATGGTCGACTGTATCAGATGCTTTGGATAGATCTAGGAATAGGCAGGCGCAGTGTTTTTTTTTATTTCCAGATTATTGAAAATAAAATTTAAGGTGTCCATAACTGTTGAGGTTGTTAAGTATTGTTTGCGGAAGCCTGATTGTTTTGGATGTAACTTAGCTGATTGTTTTGGATGTAACTTAGCTGATTGTTTTGGATGTAACTTTCCTGATTGTTTTGGATGTAACTTGGCTGATTGTTTTAAATGTGTTGAAGAGTGTCGGACGACTCGTTTTCAAATAAAGGCTTACGCCGGTGTTTTATTAAGAGCTTACGCCAACTTAACACTGAGGGTGTAACACTTTCCCAGGGGTTAGGGGTCCTAGCAACAACAGCGGCCGCCTGCAGCATCGCAGCCAAAATGGCGGCCGCCTGCGGCGTCGTAGCAAAAATGGCGGCGTAGCCAAAATGGCGGCCGCCATCTCCCGCGGCGCATCCGTTGGGAAAATGGCGCCAATTTCAAAAGTGGCGGGAGGCGCATTTGCGGGAATCCGCCGCTCCCATTCTGAGTGTGGGCCGGGTGATTGCAACTGCGCACCTACCTCGGTAATTGTGGCGGAGAGCTTCGCCATCGCCTGCAGGAGCAGCTGCAGCTGCCCTGCGAATGCGCTCCCCGCCTCCATTCTACGTGACTGAACCAAGAAGAAGTCTCCTTCCTGCTCCGGGGCCACTGCCGGAGCCTCCTCCACGCCGTCTTCACTCTCTAAGCGCCCCGTCGATAGGTTCTTATGCCGCACGCCAGATTTTGACATGGTGGCGGCAGCGCAGGCACTCTGACACCACTTGTTGAAGAGTGTCGGACGACTTGGAGGCACGTTTTCAAGTAAGGGCTTACGCCAACTTAACACTAAGGGTGTAACACTGTTCCTTGGCTCAGCTGGCTGTCCGGGCTGCCTCCTCAGCGCCGGCCGAGGGCTGATCCAACTTCGGCCAGCCGAGGAGTGCAGCTTCTCCTAGCGCTTACGCTGGCCCTTCTACAGACCCTTCTTCCTCACCCCTGGTCCTAACACCCACCCTTCACGTTTCCTGCTGCCCGCCATGACCCCGCTTACGTCACGGGCTCCCGTTTAAGTACCCTTGCGGGACATGACGTCATCCCGCCAGCAGGCGCGCATGACGCCACTTTCCGTGACGTCATCGCCCCTGGAAGCGAGCGTGACGTCAGGCCGTAACTAGTCCTCGACAGATGTAACAGCTTAGCCGATTGTTTCGTATGTAACTTAACTGATTGTTTTGGATGTAATAGCTCACCTGATTGTTTTGAATGTAACAGCTTACTTTCTGCAAGAAAGTTGCTGACTTGGGCGTTTAATGATTTTTTAAAATAATGTTATCAATGGAGATGAGATTAATATTGCCCGTTAAAAATCAGCATCATCTGAAGACCCCCTTTTGTGTAGGGAGCGGTTACAGAGGCGTCTTTAATGGACACATTTAATATGTGGGTTTGGGGCCTGAAAATCAAGTCGCCCACTGCATTTAAAGTGAAGGCAGGCAAGCCATTAGCTCCAGTGGAGGGCTTGTTTGGAAGAAACAACTTCTTTGGGACATCAAGCTCTGTCATGGGATGGAAATTGAATTATTTTGGATCTGCGTCAGATTATTTTTGGATGGTACCAACGCTTTGCATTTGCGACCAATATCATCCATAATAGAAGGGTTAATTTTCTTGTTTTTTTCGGTAAAGTCACGTAGAATGGAAATAATATAAAAATAAAACATAATAAATTAATTCTACGTGACTTTACCAAAAGAACCAAGAAGATGAATCCCTGCAGTCACGAAAGCTTTAAATCGAAATAGAGAGGGTTGTTTTGGGTTAGATCACGTAAATATATAAATGTGTCATGCCAATTCGTCACTAGTACAGCACACCGGTGTGTTGGAGAGCCAAGCCACAACATTTACACTCTGAGTACGACGTTTCGCCAGTAATTACAACTAGCGTCATCAGGCGACAGCCAGATTTGTGGAGAAGTCCACCTGTTTCGTTCCTTATATAGAGGCGTAGATGTGGTGACCACGCTTCTGCGCTCTTGCACAAAGTGGAGGGGGGGTTAATGAGTCAATGTACATTATGTAAGTGCATTATGCGAGCCCTTTCATCCTGTCCTTCCTGTCCATTGTGTGTATTAAAATAGCCGTACCAACGGTAATCCCTATTGAAGTATGGTTGGCCTGTATAGACATGCATTTAAATAATGTATTATTTGATGATTGTCTTCCACGCAGCACTAAGTCGGTAGCTATCCAAACGGTTAATTTTTTTTCTTTCAATTTTGATAGATTATCTAATCAGTATTGGCCAGTAGTAGCTAGTTTTCAACTGAACTTAAACATTATCAAAATCAATTGAGTGAACTTGTTGGCACGCGTGTTCTGCTACTGCTGACAGTTGTATTTGGGAGTTTTTAATATTTCTCTGATGTTCTTTAAGTCTCGTGCTGATCACATTCGTCCTGTTTGTCCAACATAACATTTGCCACAAGTGCAGTTAATCCTGTGCACACCTTCTGTTGGTAGCTTCGGTAAATTATCTTTTGTACCAGATTTTATGTACCGTGCCAAATCCGACACGGATGTTTTGTTTTTCCAAACATCTGGCTAGTTTATCAGTTACTCCCGCAATGTACGGTATTTTGATCGTTTTAATGAAATAGTTTCAATGCTCGTGTTATGTGATTTGGTTTTGGCATTCAAATAAAATAACACGAGCATTGAAACTGCCAAAGTAATTCAAACGTATTCTTAGGTTTTTTTGGTAAAGTCACGTGCTGTGACTGTTCCACCTGAAGACGGAAGCTTTTGTTGCCTCCGAAACGTCGTGATTTTTATTTTACTTTTATTAATTTAAATTTTTTACCTACGTGACTTCACCGAATAAACCTAAGAATATGAATCCTTGCAGTCACGAAAGCTTCAAATCTAGAATTAATTAAAACGTGTTTACTCCCCACACACTGATTGGTCAGTGCGAGGCTGCCCCCCCCCCCCCAATGCCCCTCCCCCACCCAGCCACGCCCCCCACGCCGTGACCGCTGCTCCGCGAAGGGGGATTCCACGCCCCCCGCAGTTTTAAAGTTCCCAGCGAGAGTCACCCCCAGTCGCCTTGTTGCTGCTGCTGCTATGGCCGCGTGTTCAGTGCGACCCCACGCCCCAGCTCCTCCCCACCAGCATCACCACAGCTGAGAGGTGAGGTTGTCTGTCTACGCGTTGTCTCTGTGTGTCTCTCACTCTGTCTACGCGTTGTCTCTGTGTGTCTATCACTCTAGTCTACGCGTTGTCTCTGTGTGTCTATCACTCTGTCTACGTGTTGTCTCTGTGTGTCTATCACTCTGTCTACGCGTTGTCTCTATGTGTCTCTCACTCTGTTTACGCGTTGTCTCTGTGTGTCTATCACTCTGTCTACGCGTTGTCTCTTTGTCTACCACTCTGTCTACGTGTTGTCTCTGTGTGTCTATCACTGTCTACGCGTTGTCTCTGTGTGTTTCTCACTCTGTCTACGCGTTGTCTCTGTGTGTCTCTCACTCTGTCTACGTTAACACGATCCACACTGCGATCACAACAACGATAACGAAACCTCCACGCCATTGCGTGACCACAGACTTCCTCTTTTCGCTCAGTGCGGGATGGGTGACTCGCTGAGCTCAGCTCGCCTGTGGAATTTACCGTGACCGGGTCTCTCTCGTGCCACGTAAATCAGCCCCGCGGTTCACAAGTAGCCTCACGCTTTCCCCAAGCAATTCTGCTCTGCCACACCGTCTGTTTATTCCCCCGGAATGAATAACCGCTGGTGGTGAGTGGAGCGAGAGATGTGATGAACCACTCTCTTCTGTTTTCAACAGGAGACGGAGGCACCATGAAGTGGCTCCTGGTCGCAGCGTTCATCTCCCTCCCGCGTGAGTTCACACCGAGAAGCACTCACCCAGCACACGTGGAGCGGTCTCCTTCAGACCCCTTTCCCACAGCCGAGCCGTGCCAGCCCAGAGCCCTGACGGTCCTGGTGGTTTTCCACTGGCAGTTTGCTGCACTGAGCCAGAACCAAACCGCCCTGGCCTCATAAGACGTCGGAATCCCACCCAGGGCCAAGCAGGGCCAGGTGCAGCATTTCAAATTTTCAACATACAGTGGTACCTCGGTATAAGTCGTTAATTCGTTCCAGAAGGTAGGACTTATACCGAAAATGACATATGCCAAACGCATTTTTCCCATAAGAAAGGGAAAGGAAATAATCCGTTCCAGAGTATAAGAAATGATATTTTATATGGCATATTATACTTTAATGGGGTTGCATACAATAATTTAGACACTACTTATTAATAAAATGCATACATAAATTTAAATAAATGCATAAAAAATGTAACGTCACTTTACCTTGCTGAGAGGAGTTGATAGCCGACGAGGATGGTGGTAAGGAAGGGGAGGAAGAGGAGATGTTATCTTTTTGGAAGGAGAGTCAGGCAGACTGAGGAGCGGCGCTTTGTTTCAGTCGTGAATGGGGTATACGTGGATACTGTACGCGGGGACTCATCCCGACCCATACAAGTTCTAGCAAGCGGGTCGTATCCCAAGCAAGACGTCGTATCCGAAGACATTTTTTTCTCGTCAGAATTCTAAATTCGACGTATTCCAAAGCGGTCGTATACCGAGGTATGACTACATGCATCTCGACTCTATCACGGTACGGCTCAGCCCCTGCAGTGGAAAAACAGTCTGACCTCCTCCTGAGCTGCATCGGCTTGGCACAGTCTCAGCATGGCTCAGGTGTGCAGTGGAAAAGAAGTGATGTTGAACCAGCTGAGAGTCCAATGGAGGTCGTCATAATGACGTCATGGCGATGACGTCATGGCGATGGGATCCCAGTGCCAGGGCCCCCGTGTAGCCGTGAGCGTCGGTGCCTCCCGTGGTCGAGCTGCGCTGAGACTCATCCCACACGCCGCCCGTGTGACCACGTGAGCACTGACGGTGAGGGAGGCACTCACCAGGTGAGTGGTCTTCCTCTCAAATAGCTGATGCTGAATGAAGCAAATCTTAGGTCACTCTTCAGTGAGCTCCTCCTTTTGTTATTCACTGATGCTGCGTCAGTATAAGCGTGGATGTTACAGTGCCGCTGTGTGTAACACCTGCATCGAGACATATCTTAGTATCTCTGCTATTGCTGAGTGGACCTGTGGTGAGCACTGTAAGGATAGTGAACGGTCTCTCTCTGTATAGACGTCTGTAGTGAGAGAGTTTAGCTGATCTCTGTCGAGACATCTCTCATGAGAGTGACCGGTCTCTCTCTCTGTGTAGCTGTGACGTCTGCTGTGAAGCTCCAACTCTCCCTACCAGAGAGCCTGGATGTGACGGAGGGACAGAGCGTGACTCTTGCCTGCTCATTCTCCCCACCGTCGACCGATTTGAGTGACCTCTTCATCTCGTGGGTCATGATACCGACAGGCTACCCAGTAAGCATGCACAGATGATATCATAAATGTGAGAACCTCCTTCCATGGCAACCCTGAATATTCAACTCAGTAACTGATGTCTATGTCGCACGTATCAGAGAGTAATACGTTATGTTCCAAAAAATAAAAAAGTCGCTTAATCACCCAGGAATGTCACACCGAGTCTCAAGACCCTATTAATGAGAAGGGTCTTATCATTTGAGTTCGTGAGGGTTCGGAATCATGTTGAGATGAAACCGGAGAACCCAGGAAAAAAAACAATCACACAAGGGGATAATGGGCAAAGCTCTACACATACTCAATCCATAGATAGAACCACTCTTTAACGCTACCTGTAAACCAAATCTGTTATCACAATATCCTGGCCACCTTGCAGCCTTGCAGCCCCTGGCATTCCCAGTCAAAGTATTAAGTAAGTTCAACCCTGCTTGGCTATCGAGATCCGATGAGTTCAGATGCATTGTGACTTGATCATAGTAGACTTGTGGTTTATGCTCCAATTTGTGTTTCGTGCCATTCCAGATCTACGACTCACATCTTGGGAATCTCTGGCTTGAAATAGCTGAGTTTGCGGGAAACGAGGAGAAGGGCGACTGCTCGATTAGGCTCTTGAACATCTCCAGGAACCTCGGCCCCGTGCTTAAGTGCCACGTCTACTGTTACCACTGTGGGACGGATGACTGGAAGGTGGAACGAGAGGTGAAGCTGAACGTGACGGCTGCAGGTGAATGAGAGGGGAGCATCGTGCTCATCACACGTTGGCGCTGTGACTCGCACCGTCGCTCGTGCAGACAGTGGTGGGTGGGAGGTCAAGGGTCACAGATCACAGGGTGGAGGGTGCAGAGCTGGAGAGTGGTCGTTGTACAGAGAAGAGCCTCAGCAGAGAATCTCTGATGCAAGTGAAGCCGTGTTGAGTGAGTGATCTGTCCCTGCTGCACGTGAAGCCGTGTTGAGTGAGTGGTCTCTGCCTGTTGCACGTGAAGCCGTGTTGAGTGGTCTCTCCCTGCTACCTGTGAAGCCGTGTTGAGTGAGTGGTCTCTCCGTTGCACGTGAAGCCGTGTTGAGTGAGTGGTCTCTTCCTGCTGCATGTGAAGCCGTGTTGAGTGAGTGGTCTCTTCCTGCTGCATGTGAAGCCGTGTTGAGTGAGTGGTTTCTACCTGCTGCATGTGAAGCCGTGTTGAGTGAGTGGTCTCTCCCTGCTACCTGTGAAGCCGTGTTGAGTGAGTGGTCTCTCCGTTGCACGTGAAGCCGTGTTGAGTGAGTGGTCTCTCCCTGCTGCATGTGAAGCCGTGTTGAGTGAGTGGTCTCTTCCTGCTGCATGTGAAGCCGTGTTGAGTGAGTGGTTTCTACCTGCTGTATGTGAAGCCGTGTTGAGTGAGTGGTTTCTACCTGCTGTATGTGAAGCCGTGTTGAGTGAGTGGTTTCTACCTGCTGTATGTGAAACCGTGTTGAGTGAGTGGTCTCTCCTTGCTACACGTGAAGCCGTGTTGAGTGAATGGTCTCCCTGCTGTACGTGAAGCCGTGTTGAGTCGCTGGTTGAGGCGGTGGTGCTGGGTGCGAGCGGGGGTCTTGTTGAGCCCCCGCTCTGTCTCTGTGTCGGTGCTTGACACCGCCGTCCGTGTCTCTGCAGCTCCACGTTCACAAGGCGGCACAAGTGGCACGACTGTCGCTCCTGAAGGGGAGACCTCCGCCACACCAGTGGTCGAATGGTGGTGTAGGGTGCTGCAGACGATGTTGGCGATGGGTGTGACCCTGGGACTTGGGGCTGTCATCGTCACCTGCATTCCGCTTCCTCAGCAGTCTGGGAGCTCCCCCCACTCACGCAGGTGCCCCCCTCCCCCTGCCCTCTAGCCCAGGCTACAGGATCACCCAGCCTCTCAGGAATGACCGTAAATGCAGGAAGCTGGGCTCGGTTCTCAGAGGTGGCGACTCTGAGTCAGACGCTGAGTCGGCACCACTGAGCCTCTAGGATCATTCCCCGGGAACTGTGCTGTGTGCAGGCACCGTGCGGTTTGTAAACTCGTGTTTTTGTTCCTCAGTGGTGATGGGCAAGCAGACGTGCACGGTGATGTGGAGGTGAATGGGCATCTACTGATGATGGTGAATGGACACAAGGGGAAAACGGAGACAAAGGCATGAACGCCGTGTGAAGAAATCTTCTGTGGGTCCCCCCCCCGTGACCACCCTGGCCGGCACGTGGAGCCGCTCTTACCCACAGTCCCATGCAGGAGTGCAGTGCTGACCGCCTGTGGTTCATGAGCTGATTGTTGACAGACCATGCTTTTGTCATCTCTCTCCCTCTCTGTGACTCTCAACACTCCTCTTTGGCCACTTCAAATCCCTCACCGCGAAATTTCACACGATTCAGAATCCTACTGCTGCCTCACCTCACGGCTTCTGTAAATGAAACCTCATCATCCCAATCCTCAGATTTCCCCACTGGCTCCCAATCCGGTCCCCTATCGACTGAGACATCGCACTCTGCACCTACACTCTACCTCTCCTCTCTCTTCAGGGGATCCCCCAAATATGTCTGTTAGGGACCGAAAAGTTGCGACTTATAACGAAACGACGTATAGTGGGGACTTCCCCCCATAGGAATACTACTCCGTGTGAATGGAGGTGTGATAGGGACCGAAAGGGCATAAACATTGCCTATGCAATACAAAGCGAAGCAGTTTCTCCCATAAGAAACAATGGAATAAGGTAGGGATAGGGACCGTGCCTTAGGGAAATGTGTTTAATACCTATCAACCAAAATACGTACTTTACACGTACAAAAACTAAGTACTGTACATATACAGTACCTTACAAGACAAACTGTACACATAACCAATTCTGAGTTCAAGAACCGTGAAACAGTATTTTAACTTGTTAAACACTTTCTTGAAAATCAGCTTTATAAGCATTTCGATGCAACCCTCTGCACTTTAAACGTTTTCCTTTTCTTAATAGAAAAATAATTCGTGGCATTTTAAAGAAAAGATTCCAGTAGAAAACCATTTTTAATGGGAAAAAAAGCACTATCTTAAACAGCATTATAAAAAAGATGTTACCTTAACCTGTGTTTATGATCTTACCTTGAGGAGTGGATGAGTAGCTACGCACGCCAGAGAACACCATGGCACTTAAAGTGGTGGCGTATGCGCGAGTTGTACAGTACTTCTATACCCCCCCACCCCGAACCAAATTGAAATCGATTATTCAAAATCGATAATCGTCACCAGTGTTGGTCGTGAACGGGACTTGAAGTCGGGTCGCTGGGCTCGTAGCGGAGCGCTAACCACTGCATGCTAACCGCTGCACACCCACGCACAATGTTTCCCACTTGGCTCGGCTGAACTGGTTTAACGATGTGTGTTTACGAGTGCGTGGAAATATTGCAGTGCATTCCTCAAAGTCGGCGACGTGAGTGCAAAACAAGGCAGGGTGTGTGTATATCGAGACGATGAACAGCAGGGACCCCCTGCACTCCCCACCACGTGTTCTCCACTCTAGCAACCAAGGCCTTCTGTCAAAACCCTCAGTCAACCCCTCAATGTCTGCTCGCTTATTCTCACCCAATCATTCAACGAGGCTCCATGAGTCGGAAGACACTCTTTTGTACACGTGGGAGGTAACTGGAGCAACCTTCAAAAATTCACGCAGATGGGAGTCAGTCCCACTTGCCCCACTGCCTTTTCCTGGTCACTTCGTAGCCCAGTTCAGGGGAATCTCACAAATCTGTGATTCGTGAATCCTCGACTCCATAGCGCCCGCCGCTCTCACCACAGATTCCCCCTGCTCACGTCCAGACTCCAGAAGTTCCCTCCTTTCTGTCTGTGTCCCTCCCCTGTGTCTCTCCCCTGTGTCTCTCCTCACCTGGGCTACACCACCGCTGTATTCCTTCTCCCCTGAGCTCCATGCAGATTTTCTACAGCCCCTTCCTGCTCTACTGAATGTGTCAGCATTCTGTCTGTGTGTGAACCTGAGTGGATGTGCGAGGTGTGTGTGTACAAGTGTGAGCGAGAGGAAGGGGGTGGCAGTGGAGTGGTTGTGGTGCAGTCTGACTTGTGTGTGGTTTGAAGGGACCAGAATCAGTGCATGCGTCGTAAACGCAATGCACGAGTCTGACTCAAAGGGTTCCTGCACTGGGAATGGTTGACACATTTTGTCACGAATTATTCTTGTACATGCCTTAAACTTTCCACGAAGTAATATATGTGCATTGTATTTTTACTACTGGTAAACGATCTCGCTGACCCATGCTGTGTTTACGACAGTTGGGAAGTATGGGTAGAAAGGAGTGGTTCCTGACCTCTGGATCGCAGTCCATGGCAACCCACAAGGCCATGGGAATTGCTCTGTCGAACGGTTTAAGACACCACTGCAAGTTCCTCCTCACGTGTAGAGGCTTGACAGTGAACGTGGGTCTAGAAGGGGTGGGAACCACTAGTCTAGATGATCCATATTTTCAGTGACCGTAAGCCATTGGTTTAGACATCTCATGTATGAAATATTTAGTGTTGTGAAATATGCCTTTAAGGTCCATATTTTGTATTTATGGATGTAAATATTGTTTTATGAAATCTGTATATTGCAAACATTGGCTTATTTTTAAAAGCATTGGTGTGGGAAAAACAATTATTTATATATTTACTATGAGAAAAAATTGGTGTAAAAGACTTGTACCTTTATTTCGGGATATGGTGATCGTTTTAGACCCATTACATTAGGCCATCAAAAAATATATTTTTTACAAAGAACACCGAGACTTGTCTGTCAATCTCTTGGTCCACACCGCCCTGAAGCCAACGAGGGCTCCCAGCCGGTCGCTACTCCCTGGCCGGGGAGAAAAGTTCCAGGCAAGAGCGGTCCAGGGACCAGGCCCACCAGGGGCTCGACTAGGCCTCGGCAAGGTAAGGTAATTTACTCTTTTTACCGGGTAAAAGGGTAAAGGTAGAGGTGTCGACATGCCAAGGGGTAAGGTAAAGGGTAGGGTAAAGGTAGCTCAGAAGAATTACCCGGTAGGGTAAAGGTAGCGCGAAGTATTACCCGGTAAATACGGTACCTTGTTTACCGCTAGAAGCTCCGTGGCGCAGTCCATGGCCTCCATTTAATAATATATTTTTTTAACTTTTTTAAAAACACGCTTTTATGAAATGTACGAGTAATGGCAGAACTCCACGACTCCAGGAAGTGGCCCCCAGAAGCTTGCCATAACGTAAGGGGACCGTGGTGATTTACAACCAACGTCAGTTTACCGTGGACAATTAGACCCAAGCCGAAACATCTAACCTATATAATTCATTTTTTGTCCGTCCGTCCGTCCGTCCGTCCGTCCGCGTACGCTCCCTACCGGGGGATTTAGCTCTCGGACCGTGGGGTTCGGCGAGATTACATTTTGCAGGTGGGCACGCCCCCGGCCCCGCGGTAAACTTAGGCATTTCCGATTTTTCGTCTCTAAACTTTAAATCGGACCGATTATCGATTTAGAGCGATTTATCTTTATTTATTTATATAACGCTTTATTTATTTATTTACTCTTGCCGGCCGGCGCGGACCACGGCGGTTGCCCCTGGCAACGGGTAGAGATGCGTTCGCTGCGGGGTGGACGCCATTTTGAATTCCCGTTAAAATATGCGCACGCATTAACACGCGATTCTGAGGTAAATTCATCAAAGTTTCACGTCCTCTTCACTCCCCTTCCACCCCAATGTGTGCAATTACTATTATAGGGTCGGTAGATAATAAAATTATAGCGATTAGACAGTATTATTGTAGCGCGTGGGGGGGGGGGTATTGGCCCCAGTACACACCCTCAGCCGGGTAGGCAATCTAGGCAAGGCCGGAGGCTCTGCACGGTACTAGGCCTCGACACCCCACCCGTGTCAAGCGACGACTTTGTGGTATAAACTTGATATACCCGGCGTTGCCCGGGGGGAAAATACATTTAAAATCTTCTGAAAACTTTAAAACATTACATACCAATGAAAATACAAGTGTGTAATTACTTTTAAACCCGACGCGCCAAGAATCGATTCTCTGAATCGCGAAAAGGAATCGAAGGTTGTAGATTCCTTTAGATTCGGACGATTCCCGTTTACTTTAAGTTGGTTAAAGTCGATATAAACTGCTACGAACGGGAAATATCCGGCGTTGACCGGGGCAAAAATGTTATTAAAAACTCCTGAAAACATTAAAACATAACATATCAATGAAAATAAAACACTGTCATTCAAAATGTAAATCCCCAACATGCCAAAAATCGATTCCTTGAATCGCACAAAGGACGAATCGAAGGTTGTAGATTCCTTTAGGATCGCGCTTAACGTGGTGAGGGGTGAGTGGTGAGGGGGAGAGTGGTGAGGGGGAGAGTGGTGAGGGGAGAGTGGTGAGGGAGAGAGTGGTGAGGGGGAGAGTGGTGAGGGGGAGAGTGGTGAGGGGGAGAGTGGTGAGGGGGGGAGTGGTGAGGGGGAGAGTGGTGAGGGGGAGAGTGGTGAGGGGGAGAGTGGTGAGGGGAGAGTGGTGAGGGAGAGAGTGAGTGGTGAGGGGGAGAGTGGTGAGGGGGAGAGTGGTGAGGGAGAGAGTGGTGAGGGAGAGAGTGAGTGGTGAGGGGGAGAGTGGTGAGGGGGAGAGTGGTGAGGGGGAGAGTGGTGAGGGGGAGAGTGGTGAGGGAGAGAGTGGTGAGGGGGAGAGTGGTGAGGGGGAGAGTGGTGAGGGGGAGAGTGGTGAGGGAGAGAGTGGTGAGGGAGAGAGTGAGTGGTGAGGGGGGAGAGTGGTGAGGGGGAGAGTGGTGAGGGGGAGAGTGGTGAGGGGGAGAGTGGTGAGGGGGAGAGTGGTGAGGGGGAGAGTGGTGAGGGGAGAGAGTGGTGAGGGGGAGAGTGGTGAGGGGGAGAGTGGTGAGGGGGAGAGTGGTGAGGGGGGATGGAGGGAGAGTGGTGAGGGGGAGAGTGGTGAGGGGGAGAGTGGTGAGGGGGAGAGTGGTGAGGGGAGAGTGGTGAGGGGGAGAGTGGTGAGGGGGAGAGTGGTGAGGGGGAGAGTGGTGAGGGGGAGAGTGGTGAGGGGGAGAGTGGTGAGGGGGAGAGTGTGAGGGGGAGAGTGGTGAGGGGGAGAGTGGTGAGGGGGAGAGTGGTGAGGGGGAGAGTGGTGAGGGGGAGAGTGGTGAGGGGGAGAGTGGTGAGGGGGAGAGTGGTGAGGGGGAGAGTGGTGAGGTGGAGAGTGGTGAGGTGGAGAGTGGTGAGGGGGAGAGTGGTGAGGGGGAGAGTGGTGAGGGGGAGAGTGGTGAGGGGGAGGAGAGTGGTGAGGGGGAGAGTGGTGAGGGGGAGAGTGGTGAGGGAGAGAGTGGTGAGGGGGAGAGTGGTGAGGGGGAGAGTGGTGAGAGAGAGATTGGTGAGGGAGAGAGTGGTGAGGGAGAGAGTGGTGAGGGGGAGAGTGGTGAGGGGGAGAGTGGTGAGGGGGAGAGTGGTGAGGGGGGAGAGTGGTGAGGGGGAGAGTGGTGAGGGAGAGAGTGGTGAGGGGGGAGAGTGGTGAGGGAGAGTGGTGAGGGGGAGAGTGGTGGTGAGGGGGAGAGTGGTGAGGGGGAGAGTGGTGAGGGGGAGAGTGGTGAGGGGGGAGAGTGGTGAGGGGGAGAGTGGTGAGGGGGGAGAGTGGTGAGGGGGGAGAGTGGTGAGGGGGAGAGTGGTGAGGGGGAGGTTGAGTGGTGAGGGTGAGTGGTGATTGGTGAGGGTGAGGGTGAGTGGGGAGGGTGAGTGGCGGTTGTTAGTGGTGATTAGTGAGGGGTGAGTGGTGAGGGTTAGTGGTGAGCATGAGTGGTGAGTGTTGAGCGTGAGTGGTGAGGGTGAGTGGTGATTGTTGAGGGTTTGATTGGTGAGGATGAGTGGTGAGTAGTGAGGGTGAGTGGTGAGGGTGAGTGGTGAGTGGTGAGGGTGAGTGGCGGTTGTGAATGGTGATTAGTGAGGGGTGAGTGGTGAGGGTGAGCGTGAGTGGTTAGGGTGAGTGGTGAGGGTCAGCAGTGAGGGTGAGCAGTGAGGGTGAGTGGTGATTGGTGAGGGTGTGATTGGTGAGGATGAGTGGTGAGTGGTCAGGGTGAGTGGTGAGGGTGAGTGGTGAGCGGTGAGTGTTGAGGGTGAGTGGTGAGTGGTCAGGGTGAGTAGTGAGGGTGAGTGGTGAGCGTGAGTGGTGAGTGGTGAGCGTGACTGGTGAGGGAGAGTGGTGAGGGAGAGTGGTGAGGGAGAGTGGTGAGGGAGAGTGGTGAGGGTGAGTAGTGAGTGGTGAGGGTGAGTGGTGATTGGTGAGGGTGAGTGGTGAGGGTGAGTGGGGAGGGTGAGTGGCGGTTGTTAGTGGTGATTAGTGAGGGATGAATGGTGAGGGTGAGCGTGAGTGGTGAGGTTGAGTGGTGAGCAGTGAGGGTGAGTGGTGATTGGTGAGGGTGTGATTGGTGAGGATGAGTGGTGAGGGTGAGTAGTGAGGGTGAGTGGTTGTTGTGAGGGTGCGTGGTGAGGGTGAGTGGTAAGAGTGAGTGGTGAGGGTGAGTGACGGTTGTGAGAGGTGATTAGTGAGTGGTGAGGGTGAGTGGTGAGGGTTAGTGGTGAGGGTGAGTGGCGGTTGTGAGTGGTGATTAGTGAGGGGTGAGTGGTGAGGGTGAGCGTGAGTGGTGAGGGTGAGTGGTGAGGGTGAGCGGTGAGGGTGAGCAGTGAGGGTGAGTGGTGATTGGTGAGGATGTGATTGGTGAGGATGAGTGGTGAGTGGTCAGGGTGAGTGGTGATTGGTGAGGGTGAGTGCTGAGCGGTGAGGGTGAGTGGTTGTTGTGAGGGGTGAGTGGTGAGTGGTGAGAGTGAGTGGTGAGGGTGAGTTGTGAGGGTGAGTGGTGATTGTTGAGGGTGTGATTGGTGAGGATGAGTGGTGAGTAGTGAGGGTGAGTGGTCACGGTGAGTGGTGAGGATGAGTGTTGAGGGTGAGTGGTGAGTGGTGAGGGTGAGTGGCGGTTATGAGTGGTGATTAGTGAGGGGTGAGTGGTGAGGGTGAGCGTGAGTGGTGAGGGTGAGCAGTGCGGGTGAGTGGTGATTGGTGAGGGTGTGATTGGTGAGGATGAGTGGTCAGGGTGAGTGGTGAGGGTGAGTGGTGAGGGTGAGTGCTGAGTGGTGAGGGTGAGTGGTGAGAGAGTGGTTAGTTTTGAGGGTGAGTGGTGAGGTTGAGTGGTGAGGGTTAGTGGAGAGTGGTGAGTGGTGATTGGTCAGTGGTGATTGGTGAGGATGAATGGTGAGTAGTGAGGGTGAAGTTGAGTGGTGAGGGTGAGTGGTGGTTGTGACGGTGAGTGGTGAGGGTGAGTGGTGAGGGTGAGTGGTGAGGCTGAATGGTGAAGGTGAATGGTGAGAGTGAGTGGTGAGTGGTGAGGGAGAGTGGTGAGTGAGAGTGGTGAGGGTTAGTGGTGAGGGTTAGTGGTGAGAGTGAGTGGTGAGGGTGAGTGGTGATTGGTGAGTGGTGAGGGTGAGTGGTGAGGGTGAGTGGTGAGGGTGAGTGGTGAGGGAGATTGGTGAGGGAGGTTGGTGAGTGGTGAGTTGTGAGGGTGAATGGTGAATAGTGAGTGGGAGTGGTGAGTGGTGAGGATGAGTGGTAAGGGTGAGTTGTGAGTGGTGAATGGTGAGGGTGAATGATGAGTACAGTCAATATGCACTGCTGTTATCATACCAGG